AGAGGCTCACTTGACTACGTGGCATGCTTCTGTGATCAATTACTCACTTCTAGCAGTAATACAAGACGCTCGCCTTCTGAAGGGCTTGGCCCCTCAGGGCTGAAAGGGGCTGAAAGGGCTGAAGGGGGCTGATACCCCCCTCCTGGAGAAAATTTCTCCACATCTAACTTCTTGACGTGCTTGACCAGGTGTGGGTTCCAGACTGGTGCTGCATACTCCAGTATGGGCCTAACATACACAGTGTACAGTGTCTTGAACGATTCCTTATTAAGGTATCGGAACACTGTTCTCAGGTTTGCCAGGTGCCCGTATGCTGCAGCAGTTATTTGGTTGTGTGCCTCAGGTGACGTGCTCGGTGTTATGGTCACCCCGAGGTCTTTCTCCCTGAGTGAGGTCTGTAATCTTTGTCCACCTAGCCTATACTCTGTCTGCGGTCTTCTTTGCCCCTCCCCAATCTTCATGACTTTGCATTTGGCAGGATTGAATTCGAGAAGCCAGTTTCTGGACCACATGTCCAGCCTGTCCAGGTCTCTTTGCAGTCCTGCCTCATCCTCATCCGATTTAATTCTTCTCATCAACTTCACATCATCTGCGAATAGGGACACTTCAGAGACTATTCCTTCCATCATGTCGTTCACATATATCAAAAATAGCACTGGTCCTAGAACTGACCCCTGTGGGACCCTGCTCGTCACAGGCGCCCACTGTGATACCTCTTCACGTACCATGACTCGTTGCTGCCTCCCTGTCAGGTATTCCCTGAACCATTGCAGTGCCCTCCCTGTTACATGCGCCTGATCCTCCAGCTTCTGCACTAATCTCTTGTGAGGAACTGTGTCGAAAGCCTTCTTGCAGTCCAAAAATACGCAGTCGATCCACCCCTCTCTCTCTTGTCTTACTTCTGTCACCTTGTCATAAAACTCTAGTAGGTTTGTGACACAGGATTTTCCTTCCCTGAAACCGTGCTGGTTGTCAATTATACACTTGTTTCTTTCAGGTGCCCCACCACTCTCCTCCTGATGATCTTCTCCATGACCTTGCATACTATACACGTTAGAGATACAGGTCTGTAGTTTAGTGCCTCATGTCTGTCTCCCTTTTTAAAAATTGGGACTACATTTGCCATTTTCCATACCTCAGGGAGTTGCCCAGTTTCAAATGATGTGTTGAAGATCTTTGTTAATGGCTCACACAATATCTCTGCTCCCTCTTTAAGGACCCATGGAGAGATGTTGTCTGGTCCCACCGCCTTTGAGGTGTCAAGTTCGCATAGCAGCTTCTTCACTTCCTCCTTGGTTATATGTACCTCATCCAGCACTTGCTGGTGTGCCCCCCTGTTCTGATTTCTTGGAGTCCTACTGGTTTCCACTGTAAATACCTCTTTAAATCTTGTGTTGAGCTCCTGACATACCTCTCGGTCGTTTCTTGTGAATTCCCCATCACCCTTCCTCAGTCTGATTACCTGGTCCTTGACTGTTGTTTTCCTCCTGATGTGGCTGTACAACAGCTTCGGGTCAGTCTTTACTTTTGATGCTATGTCATTTTCATATTGTCTCTGAGCCTCCCTTCTTATCTGTGCATATTCGTTTCTGGCTCTTCGGCTGATTTCTTTATTTTCCTGAGTGTGTGTGTGTGTGTGTGTGTGACCCTTGAACGCTTGAGAGGTGCGGTAGGAGCTCAAGAACCCATTCAGGTTGGTGTTGTTCTTCACCTATCCACCCCCACACTCACTGAACATAGGTGTATTTGCAGCAGGGCGTCGGCTGATCAATTCGGACTTCATGATCTCGTGTGTCATACATCACAAGGGAAGTATACTAGACATTAAGAGGTCAACGACATCACAAAGAGAAGTCTCGCCACAGCCCGTTGCCCAGCTCAACAGGAACTCCAAGTATGGAGGTCTGATGGAAGTCAAAAGCATCCAGATGGAGCCACTGTGCTACCCTGAAAGAATGGTAAGCAGGTTTCCTGGAACCACACCTGTTCTTCCACATTGGCGGATACTTACTTGCCATACTCTGAAGTTGAAAAGGGTGGAACTGCCAAGTACAGAGACACCTAGAAGATCCGCAAATATGATGGCCTGCCCAGTTGCTATAATTTCAACCCAGTAGGGTCGGAGACGCTTGGAGCATGGGGCAAGTGTGCTCTAAAGTTCTTCAAAGAGCTGGGTGAAGAACTCATCACACAAAAAACCAAGGATGACAGAGCGGCCAGCTTCCTCTTTCAGAGACTCGGTGTCACGATCTAGAGGGAAAATGCCTGCAGCATTCTGGGCATGCAGCCTACCACCATGGAGCTGGAAGAAGTATCTGAGATGTAGGCTGTGGAAAATAATGTATTTTCCGGAAAAAATACAGTGTATTTTTTATGTAAATTAGAGTAATACATCGTATTTAATAAAATTTATGTCATAAAAAATGGGAAGCCTGCGCCTGCGCAGACGAGACTCGCCATTGTGTTTTGAATGAGCCAAGAAAACGTTAGTGAAAATAAGAAGAATTATCGTGCTCTAGAGGTTAAAATTGGGCTGACACCTCTCAAATAGAGCCGAAATTGTTGAATGTGCAATCCTGCATAACTTGAGATATCAGGCGACTGGGCAAGACAGCTCCAGGAACCTCAGATAAGTCTTATGTTGTAACTCTGGCCAGTGTTATTTTCATAGATAGACAGTGAGGTTTTCTGAGTATGATACACATTAATCTCCAGTCAAATTGGTGAGTGATATTAAGATATATTCTCCTTCTGTTATGTAAATTGTATACATATAATCAATTATTAATTTTAATATACAGTCCACAAATTTATATATTTACCAGAATTCATGGTGTATGTACATTTCCTTTGTAATTAATAGGTCTAGAGCAACTTGTGGATATGACAGTGGTAGGTATCGAAGGGGGACATTTTTGCGACCTAGGTGTCCCAAATTCCTACTTGTCTATGTAACTTTGATAAATAATAATTATCTTTGTTATCATTTACTGTTGGTACATAATGAGTTACATTCAGATAAAAGCAATTTTCCACATTTAATTTGCCCGTTGGTCCTTCTCACCTAATATGTGGAAGGAAATTGGAAGCTGCCCCTGTCTATAGAGATAATCTGGAAGAAAGTGATGAAGATTACAATGATACGGCAGTGTTGTGTGATAAATTTAAAATGTTGAATAAAGTAATTGATCATTGGTCTAATGTGTGGCGTAAGGAATATCTTCTTACATTACGTGAACATTTTTATGGTGCGACAGAGGCAGTAAATCGACAGAATATTCAACCAGGTGACATTGTGTTGATTGATACTGAACAACATCGAACATTGTGGCCTCTGGGCAAAGTATTGACATTGTACCCAGATGCACAAGGTGTTGTCAGGAATGTCAAAGTGTTGTGTCGTGGCCAGGAAAGTTTACGCACAATTAATAAATTGATTCCCTTGGAATTAAATGGTGTTCAATCAAACGTAAATGAAAATCTGATGGAGAGTGACACGAGTGATATGGAAGATAACGCTGACCAAGTGATGCCGGAAAATGAAATCGTAAGACCTATTAGGAGAACAGCCACTCAAGCCAGAACCGGCTGGAATCGTCTCCTAAAGGAAGGAGTAATTTGAATCGTTTAGCAACGAACTCCGGCCAGCCTCAGTGTGGAAAATAATGCATTTTCCGGAAAAAATGCAGTGTATTTTTTATGTAAAATTTATGTCAAAAAAATTGGAAGCCTGCGCCTGTGCAGACAAGACTCGCCATTGCGTTTTGAATGAGCCAAGAAAATGTTAGTGAAAACAAGAAGAATTTTCGCGCTCTAGAGGTTAAAATTGGGCTGACACCTCTCAAATAGAGCCGAAATTGTTGGATGTGCATTCCTGCATAACTTGAGATATCAGGCGACTGGACAAGACAGCTCCAGGAACCTCAGAAAAGTCTTATGTTGTAACTCTGGCCAGTGTTATTTTCATAGATAGACAGTGAGGTTTTCTGAGTATGATACACATTAATCTCCAGTCAAATTGGTGAGTGATATTAAGATATATTCTCCTTCTGTTATGTAAATTGTATATATATAATCAATTATTAATTTTAATATACAGTCCACAAATTTATATATTTACCAGAATTCCTGGTGTATGTACATTTCCTTTGTAATTAATAGGTCTAGAGCAACTTGTGGATATGACAGTGGTAGGTATCGAAGGGGGACATTTTTGCGACCTAGGTGTCCCAAATTCCCACTTGTCTATGTAACTTTGATAAATAATAATTATCTTTGTTATCATTTACTGTTATGTACATAATGAGTTACATTCAGATAAATGCAATTTTCCACATAGGCCATGATGTGCCAGGTATGTTGTTCTACTTCCTATTGTGTTTTTTGTTAATATATATATTGTCTTTAAATAAAGTTCACATAGAATATAGCATATAGAGGGTGGTAGGAGATGAAAATATTCAAACAGCTCCGGGGAGAACCTTGAGTTTTCCTGAAGTAAGTTTATTCTTTTCTGAGGATGAGGGTCCCCAGGACAGTTCCAGAGGCGGTACCTCCTCATATTTTCATCACATATATACAGTATATACAAATATAGATGGGGTCCACCTCTAGTGCAAAATGTGGTACCCATAGCCTCGGAGAAGCAGATACCGTCATCAAAGAGAAATATATGGATTTCTTCCTGAAACCACTAGATTATTTCACCCCCTCCACCTTTCTATTTAACCAACAGACATATTTTATTAGGGTTAAGAATTAATCTAAGTTTGCCCGAAATGCCTAGCCATGCTAGGTGCTCTAGTGGCCCCCTCTGTGATTAGTATTTTACTACATGTAAACCACACAATAACCAAAATCTGTAAACCCCGCATTGTAATCCTTATAGAGAATAAAATTTGATTTGATTTGATTTGATTTGATTTGATTTGATTTGATATATATAAGTGTTTAGGTTTGATGAAGGTTGGTAGGTGTGAGGAGTGTGGCAACACTGACGGTGCTTTGTTTACATGGCAGTGTGAGGGACTTGCTGGTGTCACATTCTCTCATAAAAAGTGACCTCACACGCCACATACACATACTACATAGCTGTGACCCCTCATGTGCACGTGATATAACACCTGCGACCACCACATGTACATATATTAAGGGAATAATTACGTTTTTTTCTGGAAACAAGAGGCAAGTTGCACAGTATTTCCGGGGGTTTGAGTTGCCATATCTGACCCGTCATCACCTCGAGGGAAGGCTGGTGATGGGTTCTTGATCCAAGGAACTGGTTCTGGCCTCCTCTTCTTTGGATCCTGATTGCCTGCCATTCCCCAGGCGCCATATAACCCCAACGGGTTTAGCGTTCCCTCCTGATAATGCCCCATGATCACCCAGTGGGAGGGGAGCCCTTGATACTGATGGGCTCGTGATCCAAGGACTTTGAGTGACACTCTCCCTTCAGTAGCTCAAACCTGATTATCTTCAGGTGCTGTTTGTCTGCCTTAATGAGTTATTCATCAATTTAAGGAGAGGGGCCTAATGTCAGTGATGGGCTCTTGATCCAGGAAGTGAGAGTTATACTCCATTTTCCCTTCAAAACAGGTTTCTTGATGCCAGTGAGAGGCTCTTGGTCCAAGGAATTGAACCTGTTCTCCTCTTGATTAAATATGAATGCCTCCCTCTTGTCCAGGCACTATGACCCATATGGGTTTACCACTCCCCATGAATGTAATAATATGCTCCAGTTCCTTGCATCTTATTAAATACCCCTTATTTCTCAGGTGCTTAACTCCTATGGGTTTATCGCTTCCCAAAAATATATTATTCATTTGGATTACCATGGTGGTGGTTACAAGCTCTTAATCCAAGGAATTGGAGCCACTCTCCCCTCCTTGGATTAAATGTTAACCTCTCATTCTCCACCCCATTCCCTTATGGGTTTAGTGCTTAGTTTTGATTATAATAATCCCATTATTATAAAATCCATAATCCCATTCCCCTATGCATTTAGCACTTCATGAAAATTGTAATGACTTACAATCACCATGGTGGGTGCCTTGTTGCTGTTGAAGGACTCTTGATCCAAGGAATGTGAGCTACCCACTTCCTTTTAAAACGGGAAACCCTCGATTTAATGGATTTCGGAAATAAGGGACAAAATCCACTGGTCAGTTTTGAAACAGATTGCTTATGCAACTGGGTTAATATTGAGTATAGAGGTTCAAGGTTGAGTATAGAGGTTCATTGTTTAAATTCACCAATAAGTGGATTATGCGGTGGAGACAGTTACAGCTTAGGCATATGGAGATTTTTTTTTTTTTTTTTTTTTTTTTTTTTTTTTTTTTTAACCCTAACCCAACCTACCCAACCCAGTCGCTGTATAGCCCTTGTGGCTTAGCGCTTCTTTTTTATTATAATAATAATACCCAACCCAGTGTAACTCAAGGTGAGTTACACTGGGTTACTTTCTTTGGTCTTATCAATGGAAGGATCTTCCCCATGTGCATAAAATATAATTGTCACCATTGCACAGTCCACTTCATATTTTAGAATTGACATGGTCAGTTCTTGTTAAGCTCAGAAAATAGTCCTTGAACTCAGTATTAACCATGACTCTGCATTATAGTCATGATCATGGCAAGATAATCTTACTATTAATCCCCATGCTGTATAGTCCTTGTGGCTTAGCGCTTCTTTTTGATTATAATAATAATATTAATCCCCATAATTGCCATTACCGACCAGGGTTGCCTTCCTTCCATTTTCCAGGTGCTGTGTAGCCAGTAGTGCTTCCCCATAATCATGATAACTGTAATAATAATCGTCAAGTATATACACACACACACATTGTGTGTGTGTGTGTTCACATACAATATGAATTAATAATAACTAACCTATTTAAACTTTGACGTCTTGAGTTTTAATGTAACCAAAAGATTATTGCAATATATAGCATGTTGCAGTGAACCATATGCATGGAATTACTCTCTTGTGTCTCTAATATATATATAAATATAAATGGCAGTGTATATTAGCATCTAACAGTATTAAGCAGTATATAGTTTGTAACCTTAATCCTTATCAATAAATTCTTAAAAAAGGCCAAAGTGCATTTTAGTGTTATAATAGGCTGAGTAAACTGACTTGTCACAACCCTTAACTTCATCAGGTGCACCCCTCAAGGTAGTGCCTTGATGTTGGTAAAGTACTCTTGCTCCAAGGAATTTGAGCTACCTTTCCCTTCCTTAAAGTTGATTATCTCTCATTCCCCAGGTGCTGTTTGACCCACCTGTGGAATTAGTATCTTGTTACTTTTAACAACTTTCAAAGATAGAAATGGACTGTACCTAATTAATTAATTTTTTATATAATTTGATTTTAGACAATAAGAACTACATACTTCCTTTTTAATATACACTACATCCACTGTATATAATATTCATTCCTTCTAAGGGACACCTGAATGATGGTGAAGGTCTCATAATTCAAGAAAGTGGAGCTACCCTCCCCCTCCTTTTCATTTCGAGGGAGGTGCCTTGATGTCAGCGAGGGAGGGTTTTGATGCAGGGAATTGAAACTGTCCCATTCCTTGACTTGATCTTGATTGCCATCCATTCGTATGTTCTGTACACCTCCTGTGAGTTTGGTGCTTTTAATAATAATGCGCCTAGGTAACATTTATGAAGGGATTCGGGGAAAACTGGTTAGCCAGTCTTGAATCTTGGGGGTGGAAGTACAGTGCCTGCACTCTGAAAGAAGGGTGAAGATGTTGAAGCTCAGAGAGACATCTGAAATGTGATGTCAGCAAGTTTCGAGCAAGACAGTGATTGAATGAATGATGGTGAATGTGTTTTCCTCATTTTTGGCCCACCCTTCCTCAGTGGGAGACAGCCTGTGTGATAAAAAAAAATCGCTTCCCATAATCAAATCTGATTCTCTAGGCACTGTATGAGAATTATAGACAACATTTTCCATTAATGTGATGATATATAATAATAATAATAATGTATAAAGCATTAATTAGTTCACTGTAAAGTTGAATAAAAAAAAAAAAAAAGTTCATTTCAGGGTGTCTGTATTTCTGTAGCAAAGATAACTGCCTGGTAAAAATAAATATTAACGTAAAAGCTCTCTTGGCAGATACTGTACTGCAATTGTGGAGAGCAGAGATCATCTGACAAAAGCACTGGACGCTCTTCTTGCCCTTGGCCATTCTAATTATGGGGGTAACAACTTATGAATTTATGAGGCTTTTGTGGTGTGAATAACATGCTTGGAGGTATTATTATGTTAATGATGTACAGTACTGTTAAGCTGATGAATGGTCAGACAGGTATTGCTACATTAACAGTATGCAGTACCAACAAGGTTGGTATTCTTTCCATTAAGCTTTCTTATAAAGCTCTTGCATATAGCATTCTTTTTTCAAATGCAGTTGAAACAGCAAATTCAAAATAATATAACATCATATGTGAAGGCCTTTTCATGTGCTATTCAATTTTGGATGCACTCTTTCAGTTGCACTTCTAAAAAAAAAATCGCACTATACAGTAAGTCCTCAACTTACAAACACGTTGTGAATCTTCTGTATTGTGTATATCATTATTATATCATTATTGTGTATAATATCATTATTATATACAATAAAGAAGGTCCCCAACATGTTCGTAAGTTGAAGACTTATTGTATTATGTATATTATACACAATTCAGGATGTCCCCAATGTGTTTTTAATTTGAGGGCTTACTGTTTGAGAGATTTCTGTACCATTATTGCTGTAATTCTGCACTTCTCTGACCATTCATGAAGCTTGGAGGGAGCTGCTGCAATTGCAAATCTCAAGGGTAATGTTTTTGACATGTGCAGTGGGTGCTGTTAGAGGGTACTTAAAAATGCACAACTGGTGCTGGTAAAGCAAAGTGAACCTCAATAGTCGCAATGCTAGGTTTTTGTGACGGTTTGAGTGAAGAACAGACAAAAGTTTGCAATACTAACACACTCACCTCTCTTATACTCTCTCTCAGCTTTATACTATCTTTATTGCTGATTCCCTTTCAAAGGTGCCTTGATGCTGGTGAAGGGCTCTTGATCCAAGGAATTGGAGGCATCTTTCCCTTTCTCATATCAAACTCAGTTGGCTTCCATTCTCCAGGTTCTGTATGACTTGTGGTTTTAATATAGTAATACAATAATGATAATAATAATACTACAGTAATAGTAATAACAATGATAGTTTATTAACTTATTGTTATTAATAAAAGTTAAAAATTTGCTTCAAGGCTTAAGGTATATTGTGTTATGAAGAACAGCTTCTCTACTATTAAAAAAATGACTGTTTATTGCTTTTTTTAGTAATTTTATTTGAATATTTAACCCTTCTATATTTTATTTAAAAAATGTCTCTTGAACATGTAAGATGGCAGGTAAATCATACATACTTTTACATACAATAAACCTTTGATTTAATGTACCAATAGGGTAGGGAGTGGGTGGCTGGTAATGGTGTTTGGGGTAAATAGAGATGAGTTTGTTTTGCTGTGATTGTAACAATAACAGAAAATTCTTTAGACTGTCCAACAGACTTTGGCCATTGTTTCTGAAAGAATTGATCCAGTGGATGTCTCTTGTTTCCAGATTCTGTTAAATTGAGGGTTTATTGTATATTCTGAAACCTTTTTCATTAGTTTCATGTGTGCTTCTTAATATTTCTTCTTAGTGCAATATTTCCTTCACAATGTAGGAGACTTGATTTAAGACCTAGATATGGAATAGATGATTCTCCAAACCATTATCAAATGTGTGTCTGGATTTGAAACAATCACTTAATAATTAACCGTTTCTTCAGCTGTTGAAATAAATCTGATTAAACATTAACAAATTGTAAGTAGGGTTCCTGGCAATTTCTTTTTCTTGCATCTGTACAGTACTGTAAAAAAAAATGTATAGTACATTTTTTCAACACATTGGCTGTCTTTCACTGAGGCAGGATGACCCAAAAAAGAAAGAAACACTATCACCATCATTCAACACTTTCACCACCCTCCACGCATAATCACTGTCTTTACAGAGGTATCCAGATATGACAGTTTAGATGTCACTCCAAACAGCCAATATCCCAAACCCCTCCTTTAAAGTGGAGGCATTGTACTTCACAGCTCCAGGACTCAAGTCAGGCTAACCAGTTTCCCTGAATCCCTTTACAAAGTATTAACCTGCTTACACTCCAACAGCTCATCAGGTCCCAAAAACCATTCATCTCCTTTCACTCCTGTCTAACATGCTCACACATGCCTGCTGCATGTCCAGGCCCTTTACACACAAAACCTCTTTTATATATACGTATAGGAATTAAAGTCCAATATCATAGCTGGAATAATTCACAAGTAACCCAGAAAATCACAGTATTGTAGTTTCACAACTAATCCACAAAGTCATGGTACCTAGGCTGGAACAATTCACAACAAACCCACATACTAAAAAATAGAAATTAGAATTCATTTTGGTCTGTCCTGGCCCATTACCAAGTCATTACTTGACAATAATAATAATAAGAAAAAATAATATCTTTATTTACTACAGGTACATGTACAAGGTATACAGGTCTAATTGACATCAGTGACTTATTACTACAGTGGACCCCGGTTTGCGATATTAATTCGTTCCTGAGAGCTCATCGTAAACCAAAATTATCAAAAAGCGAATCAATTTTCCCCATAAGAAATAATGGAAATCAAATTAATCCGTGCAAGACGCCCAAAAGTATGAAAAAAAAAATTTACCACATGAAATATTAAGTTTAATGCACACAAACTGAAGAAGACATGCACAGTTTGTTGTACTCTACTAACAATAGAATACATGACACTTACCTTTAATGAAGATCTGGGGATGATTGATAGGAGGGGAGAGTGTCGAACTTATTGTTTAGAAGGGGAACCCCCTTCCATTAGGACTTTTTGGTCCGAACTGGCAGCCTCACCATGCCTAATCACACTATGTATGCCACTACGATTCTTAAATCTTTCAAACCAACCTTTGCTGGCCTTAAATTCACTCACATTAGCACTAGTTGCAGGCAATTTCTTTACCAAATCGTCATGCAACTGCCTAGCCTTTTCACAAATGATCGCTTGAGAGATGCTATCTCCTGTTTTTCATTTATCCAGACCAATAACAGTCTCTCAACATCTAACACTTGCGGTCGCTGTTTCGTAATCACAGTTGCACCTTTTGCAACAGCAGCTTCCTTGATTGCTGTTTTTCTGGTCACTATAGTAGTGATGGTTGATTGGGGTTTTGTATATAACCTGACCAGCTCCAACACACACACTCCACTTTCGTACTTTGCAATTTTCTCTTTCTTCATTTCAATAGTCATTAGCACCCTTTTTCTCGAAGGGTTGGTACTAGAAGCTTTCTTGGGGCCCATGGTGACTTATTTTGCAGAAACAAGCACCAAAAACATTGTGATAATATGGAATGTACCAAATGTATCCTTAGATGCGAGCATACTGGCTGGCTTGTAAACACTGGGCCACACGTGGACACGTCTCGGACGAATCGCGTATACCAGGTTTTTTAACGGGAATCGAGGCAAAATTTTTGCTTTAAAATGTATCGAATACCGGATTTATCGGATACCGATGCCATCACAAACCGGGGGTCCACTGTATATAGAAAGTCGCTTGTTATGCTGGGTATTTTGGACAAATTAGGTCAGTGTTGTCCCAGGATGCTACCCACACCAGTCAACCAACACCCTGGTACCCATTTTATACTGATGTATGAACATGGATGGCAGGTGTCTTGTGAAAATATGTCCCTAATGTTTTCCAGCTGTACCAGAAGAGATTCGAACTCCGGACCTCAGTGTGTGAGCTGAGTGCGCTAACGATCAAACTACGGGAGCTAATGGCTCACAATGGACCAAAAGGTCGTCTAGTTTTTATTTCTAGATTATAGGTTAGTTGTGAACAATATATAATTAGTACTACACTATTTGATACAGAGGAACCCTTTACTCCTTTTGCTGCTAACAAATTATAGCTACTTTGCACGAAAATGTTGATCATTAAGTGAATTGGTTGCTTTTGTGTGCGCACAGTTATCTAAGATGAGCTTTGGGTTGGGCTATCTTTGTACAGAATTGCTGAAGACGAGCTTGGGGTTGGGTTGTCTGTATACAGAATTGCTGAAGATGAGCTTGGGTTGGGTTGTCTGTGCACAGAATTGCTGAAGATGAGCTTGGGTTGGGTTGTCTGTGCACAGAATTGCAGAAGATGAGCCTGGGGTTGGGTTGTCTGCCTAGAGAATTGCTGAAGATGAGCTTGGGGTAGTGTGGATTTTGTTTCAGTAGTAGTAGTAGCATTTGGCAACTTGTTACAAACAATTCTTGAATACCCACATTTGTTAAAGTTGCATGTCAAAGATACAATTTTTTTCTTCAGATAATTAACCGCCAAGCTGGGGAGTATAATGATGCATGCCTCGGTGGATGGAGACTTTGAGGCTGATGAATCTCAGTGTCTGCTGTCTGATACAGACACGGATACACGTACATTTACAATGTCGAATACGCACCGATTGTGCTGTCTCTCTTTCTGCATACGCAACTTTTTTGCCAGGTAAGTAAATGTTAATGTACTTAGTGGGCATCACCCTTCTAGAAGGGTGCCTTGGTGTGGATGCAGGGTTCTCCAGTGAAAGAATTTGAGCTACAGTCTCCTTCCTTGGATTAAACTTGATTGCTTTCTATTTCTTAGGTAATGCATAACCCTTATGAGCTAATGAATACTACAAATAACATAATTGGTCAGTAGTTCCCCTTGATGTACATCAGGATTGCTGATCTATTCTTTCTTCCTCATGAGCACATATGACAGGTAAATCTTACATTCTTCTACTCACATTCAGTATGCACATAAATTTTTTTGTGCATTTCTTAATTCCTGTAACATTTTCTTCCTAGCCTCCACTCAGGGGAGCTTCCTTGATGCTGGTGAGGGGCTCTTGATCTAGGGGATTGGATCTGTGCTCCAGTTCCCTGAATTGAGCCTGAATACCTTTCATCCTTCCCCCCCCCCCCACAGGTGCTGTATAATTAGTGCTCTCCCATGATTATAATAATTCTTCCCAGCCTAGTAAGGCTTGCAGAAAATGGTTCAGAGAACCAACAAATTGATAGATTAGATACTTATACAACACTTGGGAATTTTTATTGAGGAAATGTTTTGCTGCACAGTGGCATCATTAGTCCAGTGCAAAGAAGAATGGTGAAGATCAGAAGGAGTTTGAGGTAATCAATCCCTCATTCTGGAGTCGATGTAATCGGCCCATCAATCTTGAAATGAATACAGGATATATGCAAAGAAGGGGCTTATATAAGGTGATAGACTGATTACCTCAAACTCCTGATTTTCACCACCCTTCTTTGTATTGGACTGAGGAAGCCACTGTGTGGCATGTGTCAGTAGATGGGTCTATGAAAGATGAGGTGAATCATAGAATTGATGAGGGAGAAAAGGTGAGTGGTGCACATAGGAGACAAAGAACTTTGTCCATGGAAGCAAAGAGGGGAACATATGAGAGTATAGCTATACCAACGCTCTTATGTGGGTGTGAAATATGGGTGGTGAATGATGCAACAAGGAGAAGTCTGGAGGCAGTGGAGATGTCATGTCTGAGGGTAATGTGTGGTGTGAATATAATGCAGAGAATTCGTGGTTTGGAAATTAGGAGGAGGTGCGTGATTACCAAAACTGTTATCCAGAGGGCTGAGGAGGGGTTGTTGAGGTGGTTTGGACATGTAGAGAGGGTGGAAGGAAATAGAAGGACTTCTAGAATGTATAGATCTGTAGTGGAGAGAAGGCGGGGTAGGGGTCAGCCTAGGAAAGGTTGGAGGGACGGGGTAAAGGAAGTTTTGTGTGCGAGGGGCTTGCACTTCCAGCAAGCATGCATGAGCGTACATGTATTTGATAGGAGTGAATGGACACACATTGTTTTTAGGACTTGACATGCTGTTGGAGTGTGAGCAAGGTAACATTTATGAAAGGATTCAGGGAAACCAGCAGGATTGACTTGAGTCCTGGAGATGGGAAGTACTACAGTGTCTGCACTCTGAAGGAGGGGTGTTAATGTTGCAGTTTTATAACTGTAGTGTAAGTGTGCCTCTGGCAAGACAGTGATGGAGTGAATGATGATGAAAGTTTTTCTTTTTTGGGCCACCCTACCTTGGTGGGAGACTGCCAATGTGTTAATAAAATAAATAAAATATTTTGAATCTAGGGAATTGCAATTTGTAGGTAAATAAAAACGTATAGTGTATATTTTTTTAACACGCTGGCTATCTCCCACCCAGGCAAGGTGACCCCAAAAAAGAAACACTTTCACCATCATTCACACTATTACTGTCTTACCAGAGGCATCCAGATATGACAGTTTAGATGTCCCTCTTTTAGAGTGCAGGCACTGGACTTTCCACCTCCATGACTCAAGTCTGGCTAACCAGTTTTCCTGAATCCCTTCACAAAATATTAACCTGCTCACATTCCAACAACTCATCAGGTCCCGAAAACCATGTACAGTGGACCCCCGACATTCGATATTAATCCGTTCCTGAGAGCTCATCAAATGTCGAAAATATCGAAAGTCGAATTAATTTTCCCCATAAGAAATAATGGAAATCAAATTAATATATGTAAGACACCCAAAAGTATGAAAAAAAAGTTTTTACCACATGAAATATTAAGTTTAATGCAATAGAATAATTACAATAACAATAGATTAATAACAATAGAATAATTGACACTTACCTTTAGTGAAGATCTGGCGATGATTGATGGGATGGGAGGAGGGGAGAGTGTGGATCGCTTGAGAGATGCTGTCTCCTGCTGTTTTTCATTTATCCACACCAATAACAGTCTCTCAACATCTTCTAACACTAGCGATCTCTGTTTCGAAAACAAAGTTGCACCTTTTGCAACAACAGCTTCCTTGATTGCCGTTTTCCTGCTCACTATAGTAGAGATGGTTGATTGGGGTTTACTATACAATCTGGCCAGCTCCGACACACACACTCCACTTTCATACTTTGCAATTATCTCTTTCTTCATTTCAATAGTCATTAGCACCTTTTTTCTCAAATGGTTGGCACTAGAAGCTTTCTTGGGGCCCATGGTTACTTATTTTGCAGAAACAAGCACCAAAAACAGTGATAATATGGATAATATGGAATGTACCGAATGTATCCTTAGATGCGCGCACACTGGCTGGCTTGTAAACACTGGCACACACGGGGCAGTTCAGGCCACACGTAGACACGTCTCTTATGAATCGTATCGAATAGTGGGTTTTCAGTCAAATGTCGAGGCAAAATTTTTGCGTTAAAATGCATCGAATGTCGGATTTATCGAATGTCGATGCCATCGAATGTCGGGGGTCCACTGTATTTATTTATTTATTTTTATTTATATTTTTATATTAGGGAGTGGAGGCTAATGGTTTTTATGACTTGATGTGCTGTTGAAGTGTGAACAAAGTAACATTTATTAAGGGATTCAGGGAAACCAGTTAGCCAGACTTGAGTCCTGGAGGTGGGTAGTACAATGCATGCACTCTGAAGGAGAAGTGGGAATATTGCAGCTTTGAACTGCAGTATCGGCACCCCTCTGGCATGACAGTGATGGAGTGAGTGAGGATGAAAGTGTTTCTTCTTTTTGGGTCACCCTACCTTGGTGGTAGATGGCTGGTTTGTTGAAAAAAAATTATGGTGAGTGCTAGAAAAAGAAGTCTTTGAATTTCAAAGAAAAAAATAATTTTCGTAAATGATTTGTTTCATTTCATGCTATCTGTAATTTTTTAACTTCAAAATTAGGTTATGTGAAAGCATGGTGAGCTGCTGCATGCGTGGTCGTCAACTTGCAGCCAGATCGGTTAGAATTGGTCACCCAACATCGGAGAAGTTCCCCCCAAATGTCATCCGTAACCAGAAATTTAATTTTTTTACCTTTATTCCTATGGTAAGCATCGTAGTAAACACAGTTGAGCTAATTTTTATGTAAAAATTCAGCCATAAAGTCATCATAGTGCTACAAGCAAATGGATGAGGTAAGAACTAGTGTTTTTAATGAAGTACTTATTCTAGTAGGTCTTTAAAGTGTGTGTCAAAGCTCAGTGTGGTGCAGTTTAACATCTTTATTATGCACCTCATACCCATCCTTTGGGCATTTGTGTGGTGCAGACGTAGGAATTTACACTTGCTTTTGCCATCAAGTCATGCCCCAAGCAATGTTATTTCTTAGCTGTTATCTGTGTGATAGTACAGTATCCAATTAGGTGCCTTACACTAATTATTCAGGCATTGCACATTTTCATTGATGGTGGATTTAGTAAAGTTGATGACTTGAATAAGTTATTTATTCTGGTTCTTATATATCTACTGGCAGTGGTAACTTAAAATACTAGAGTAATTCTGTGTACAACAGACTGTTTATATCTTCTGCTAACACTCGTTCACATAGTGCTTCAGTACTTGTGCATGTGATAGCATTCAGTCAATACCTAGAAGATCTTTAAGGGAACATTGATTCCAAGTTTGTCTTATGGAGGGTTCTTGGTAACCAGGGCAGCAAGCCAACAAGTGGGTAAAAGAGATGTAATGCACAGCAGAGCAAATAAAATGTATAAAAATACAAAAAGGGCTGACTCTGCAATGTGTAACCTCAGTAATGGAGAGTGAGCCCTGATCCTTGGATCTGCTGTGATCCTTGGGTACCAGAGGTACAATATCATTATCTGAGGCTGAGGTTCTTACTGGGGGGTATGGGACTCGATCTCTGAACATTTTGCCATTTTTTTATAAATATGATACAGTCTTTATGATTTTCTTTCAGCTGTTCTGTTCATAGCTATCCATATGTACAGTAGAACCAAGCTATTGACATCTTTGGAAATCATACTAGTATCTAATAGGACTGGTGGTGGTGATGATTTTGACAGTCTGGTGAAGGGGGTATAGGCACATACTGGGCAATTCATTGGGGGGTCTATAATCTTAAAAAGGTTAACAACCCCTGACTGAGGTGTCTGGTATTGTGGCGTTAGCTTTCCACCTTCATGGTTAATTATGGAAGATGCTTCACTGTGCTTTTTAATCAGTTTTATCATTTAAGATGCATAAATATCAGGATCATTTGCTTAAATATTTTGTTACTGTTCTCTATAAAATATTTAGAATAAATGCTCACATTACCATTACAAAAAATATGCAGTTATAAATGTAAATGCCTAAAAGCTCAGCCCTCTATAGTTTAGATAATTGAACACCCACTGTATATTGCCTTTAATATACAGTACAATGGATCCTCTCATCAGTGGATTAATAGGGAGGAGGAGGTGTATGATACAGTGGTCCCTCTTTTTCGTAATTAATCCGTTCCTGGAAGTGTGACTATTATCGAAATTGACGATTTTCGAATCCATTTTCCACATACGAAATAATGTAAATCCAATTAATTCGTTCCAGACACCCAGAAGTATTGACAAAAATTTTTTTTTTACCCTAAAGATAGCTTTACATGCACAAAAGAATGAACATTCAACATGACAGTCACTTTTATTGAAGGCTGTTGTTGATGAATGGAAGACAGGGAGGAGAGAGGGATGAGAGGTTATTGTTTGGAAGGGGAATCCCCCTCCATAAGGACTCTAGGTCACTTCAGGGGTCACTTCCCTAGCTTAAATATAGATTTACATGCAGAAAAGAATGCCAAACAAATGTAAAGCACTAATAAAATGTATAATTGAACATTTAACATCACACTTACCTTTTATTTAAGACTTGTTGGTGTATAGCAAAGGGAGGGGAGACGAGTTTATTGTTGGAGAATATGACACTAATATCAACTCTACGGCTTATTTTTCTATCACAATTCAACTAATTTGACATAATAAACAATATTAATAACATAGAAACATGGAATATACTCTAGAATGAATAAAATAAGTCATTATGTATGTCATGAGAGGTGTTGTGTTGTGTTGTTGGGTGCATTAAGGCCACTCAGAGTAAGCCGTCCATCATGGTGGTGAAGCAGCAACTGAGGCGGCAGTGTTTTCTGTAGCCCTATATAACTCCAACAACATTGGAGGAGTTGGTAGAATCGCTGAATCACTGAAGAAGGCACCCTCTACCACCATCACAACTAAATTATATGTGTTTCTCATATTCTTTACCAAAGGGCTGGCACTAGAAGCTTTCTCTGGAGCCATGGTGACTTATTTAGCAGGTGCAAGCACTAAAACAAATGGAATATTATGAAATGTATCGTATGGACTCGTGGGATCATCCTCACTCACTGATAAACAATGGCACACTGGCTGGGAATGGAGTGTGAGGCAGCTCAGGGCTGTGTGTACGCGTCCCAGACGAATGACTGTTTGCGAGTCAAATGACGATTCGCGAGCCAATGTTTTGACAAAAATAACGGTATGATTTTCGAAAATTACGATTATCGAGCGACCACTGTACAATGGACCCCCGCTTAACAATCACCTCCCAATGCGACCAATTATGTAAGTGTATTTATGTAAGTGCATTTGTACGTGTATGTTTGGGGTTCTGAAATGGACTAATCTACTTCACAATATTCCTTATGGGAACAAATTCGGTCAGTACTGGCACCTGAACATACTTCTGGAATGAAAAAATATCGTTAACCGGGGGTCCACTGTATTGCCAATTGTCCGAAACTTCCAAATTATGAAATTTATATTTCACAATCATCCAGTTTTCTTTTGAACTAGTGGACTTCATCTGCTGATGCAGAGGACAACCAGCCACTAAGAATACATGTAGTGTAACCAGTATTACTACGTACAATATTGTACTGTATAACAATTTTATAGTCCTATAATTTAAAGTAATTTTACTTACCTTTTCTTGGTGGAGAGATGAGGTGCAAACTGCAGTGATCAATAGTGGTGGCTCAGAATAACTTTTATTCCAAGTCAGAGGAACTGTAAAGCTTTACTAGCATCTACACTAAACTTCAGAGCATAGGCTGTATGTTTGTCCTTGTGATAATGTGGGTAGAATTACCAATATATTAAGTAAAAAGAACACATCATGCAACAAATTCAGCATTTTATTGTGGCAACGTTTCATTCTCCAGTTGTAACAGTTTGACAAAGATCCTAGAAAACAAATTGTTGCCACAATATTATGTTGAATTTATTGCACATGTGTCCTTTAACCAAACAAATTTGCTGTTGTTTCTACAGACATCAGACATTGTTTCTTAACCCCATATTCCTTCACTGAGATGCCAGATTCAACCTTCTTTATTAGTTCAAGTTTCTACCTAACACTGAGAACCACAAGTTTACTCTTGGCACCACCACTTGCTGTAGTAACTGCTGTTAATTCCACTTTACTGAACATGTTAAGAAAGTCACACAAAATGCTCTAAATTCAAAGTTAGAGATTATGTAACAAGTGTATTTATGAGTGAGCACAAAAGATAAACTGGTGTGGGTGGCCTACATCTCAAAGAATAATGAAAACTGATAAATACAGGTCTGGCTTATACCGGACAAATGTCTGGAGTACATATCGGGCTTGGTCCAATACTCCAGAAAACAACCGGACACTGATGCTGCAGACAGAATTCGGAATTGCAAACCTTTGTCCGTTTTCTCTTGATATTTGCAGTGTACGTGTCCAGCCATTTTTTTTTTTTTTTTTTTTTTTTTTTTTTTTTTTGTCCAAAGTTGCCAAAATCCTTTAATGAGAGGTATTACTGTACTCAGAATAAATTTTAGGTTTCAGTTGTTTTCCTTATGATTTACTCTTTTCTATCTTTTTACAGGTTCTTTTTGAACAATTCAAGCTCTTCTTGAATTTGTATTTTCTTGTGATGGCCACCTCTCAGTTTATTCCAGAACTTCGCATTGGATATCTGTACACATACTGGGGTCCATTGGTAAGTACAGTACCCAAGAAGTGGAAAAAGTCACTCACGTATATTTAGCACTGAAGAAGCCACTCATGGTGACACATTTCATGTAATAAAGGTCCTGATCTATATTTAAGTGTCTTTTTGCACATCTTGTCAGTATCGCCATACTATTTTTCAGTACGCAAGAAGTTTATGGTTGGCTTAGGGGTGACAGTTTGATTGGAAGAATGGGCTAAATGACTTGTCTTGAGGCATTATTATTATGTTTATTAATTTTATTTGGGGAGCTGTTGTTTTAGTGCTGCCCCCTGGGCTTGCCACAAGTACTTTCATCACTGCATTCATCAGCAATTCATAATTTAAGATTGTTTTAATTTTCTTTTTTTAACACGCTGGCTGTCTTCCACCAAGGCAGAATGATTCAAGAAAAAGAAACACTTTCACCATCATTCACCCTATCTTTGTCTTAGCAGAGGCATACAGATATGACAGTTCAGATGTCAATCTAAATAGCCAATGTCCCAAACCCTTCCTTTAAAGTGCAGGCATTGTACTTCCCACCTTCAGTTTCCCTTCACTACTATTTTCTCTACTATTTTTAATTTATAATTTTCAGAATACTGTTCTGTGCAATAGTTGATAATTATTTCGTCCTCAGTTCTTTATTTTTGCTATGGGAAGGCTTTGTTCATTCCTTTTTTATTCATTGTTTGTTTAGGTGATGAATTGATCAGATCTACCTGATAAAATTGAAAACTGAATAAACAATCACTAGGTAATTCACAGTTTACTGGAATATTAGTAATAAAAGTTGAGGAAGTGTTTGAAATCAAATATCTTACAACTGCTTGACAATTGAAAAATTAGACAATTAGACACTTGTGCAACATTTTGGGAATATTTATCACTGAATTGAAGCATTTGGTGAAAAGTTCGCAAAACATTTCTGTGATAAAGATTCCCAAATGTTGCACAAGTGTCTAATTCTTCAACTTCTCAGTTTACTGAACCATTTACATCATCTTAGATAACTGTTTATTTAAATTCCTTCACTCACAGTATACAGTGGAACCTCGGTTTTCGTCTTTAATCCATTCCAGAGAGCCTGACGAAAACCGAATTCAACGAAAACTGAAGCAATATTTCCCATAAGAAATACGTAATGTAAATCCAATTAATCCATTCCAGACACCCAAAAATATTAACAAAAAATACATTTTATAGAGAATATAGTTTTACATTCAGAAAACAATGAGAAATAAATATAAAGCACTAATGAAATGGATATATGAACATTTAAATCACTCTTTCCTTTATATTGAAGACTCTTGTTGGTGTATGGAAGACAGCGAGGAGGGGAGAGGAAGGGGAGGTTATCTCTACCACCATCACTACCACCCTCTACCACAGTCACTACCATCATCACAGCCACTACCACCCTCTACCACCATCACTACCACCATCACTACCACCCTCTACCACCATCACTACCACCCTCTACCACCATCACTACCACCCTCTACCACCATTCACTACCACCCTGTTCCACCATCACTACCACCCTGTTCCACCTTTCATTACCAACTTCTACCACCATCACTACCACCCTCTACCACAATCACTACCACCTTCTACCACCATCACAACTACTACCACCCTCCACCACCACCACCACCACCCTCTACCACCATCACAACCACTACCACCCTCTACAACCATCACTGCTGCCCTTTACCACCATCACTACTACCCTCTACCACCATCACTACCCCCTCTGCCCACTACCACCATCACTGCCACCCTCTACCATCATCACTACTGCCCTCTACCACCATCACTACTCCCCTCTACCATCATCACTACCACCCTCTACCACCATCACTACCACCCTCTACCACCATCACTACCACCCTCTACCACCATCACAACCACTACCACCCTCTACCACCATCACAACCACTACCACCCTCTACCACCATCACAACCACTACCACCCTCTACCACCATCACTGCCACCTTCTACGAGTAACAAAGGCAGACTGAGTCACATATGTGTGAGTGGGACCGCATCCCAGGTGCGCGGACGCATCTCATATGGACGATTTCTGAGCGGAGGTACGAAACCTGGGGTAAAAATTCACCAAAAAAAGCGGTTGAAATCCAAATTGTACGATATCCAGACCAGACGAAAACCGGGGGTCCATTGTACAAGGTTTTTACACACAAAGAATTTACTGTACTGTCTTGTACATTACAGGGTTTTGTTATTCTGGTAACAATGACTCGTGAAGCTGTAGATGACGTGCGGAGACGGCAGCGGGACAAGGAAGTGAATCAGCAAAAATACAAGAAGATGACCCCACACGGAGGACAAAGAACAGTCACCAGTGCAAATATTAAAGTCGGAGACTTGATATTTGTTGAGAAAGTAAGATCATTTTCACCATCTGCATTATCTACTGAATTATTCTATCATGTTCTGTATTAACCTAGGTGGTAGGCTGGTAGACAGCAACTGCCCAGGAAAGTACAGTGGACCCCCGGTTAACGAACTTTTTTCATTCCAGTAGTATGTTCAGGTGTCAGTACTGACCGAATTTTTCCCCATAAGGAATATTGTGAAGTAGATTAGTCCATTTCAGACCCCCAAACATACACGTACAAACGCACTTACATAAATACACTTACATAATTGGTCGCATTTGGAGGTGATCGTTAAGCGGGGGTCCACTGTACTACCATCCTGCCAAGTGAGTGTAAAATGGAAGCCTGTAATTGTTTTACATGATGGTAGGATTGCTAGTGTTTTTTTTTTCTGTCTCATAAACATGCAAGATTTCAGGTACATCTTGCTACTTCTATTTATATTTAGCACACACACACACACATGCATGTACAAGCATATACAGCCTCTTCTCACTTAGTGACGTACTCGTTTACTGACGACTTGGACTTACGACGGGCTCTGTGACCAGTATGCATACCTAAATAATGTATAATAGAGCTGATTTCCTCTATTCTGTTGATTACAATATACAGTACAGTACTGTATAAACATTTAGAAATACACTAAGAGTGTTATAAATGATGCAGAGATGACATTAAAAAAATATCAAAGATGGTTGACACAAACCCACTACCATTATAGTATGCTACTTGCTTAGTGACGAATTAGTTTACCGATGTGATCTTAGGAACAGAACTCCAACGTTAAGTGAGGAGAGGCTGTATTGAGAGATGCACACGCACAATTGTAAAGTTATTGACCAATGACTAATGCACCATTATAAAATTATTGACCTATTACTAATGCATAATCCCTCTTTAGGACCAGCGTGTACCCGCTGACATGGTCTTCTTACGGACTACCGAGACCAGTGGCACGTGTTTCATCCGCACAGACCAGCTGGATGGAGAAACAGACTGGAAGCTGCGTCTGGCTGTCCCTGTTACACAAAAGCTGGACACTAATGAAGAGCTGTTTCAAATGGATGCCACTGTATATGCTGAGAAGCCCCAGAAAGATATATATAACTTCATTGGTACTTTTACTAAGGTAAGTCAACTGAGTTTAGGAGGTGAGGGAGATAGCAGTGTGTTACTCCAGCGTAGTGAATTATGATACAAAGAGTCAGTTTGTAACTACTTTAGAAATCCCAATTAACTTGAGATCATTGAATCAGTCTAAAGTATTAATACATACTTAAAATTATACTATTTTTATTACCTCTCTTTTTTGGTAATAATGCATACTTAAAATTGTACCACTCAATAATCTATGTCTAGTCTCAAGTAGTCTGTCAGCATTAAGATTAGTGTGCCCAAAATGTACAGCATGCTAGTGGCTTTCTTTTGTGCTTAACAATATTTTATTAAATGTAAACTAGATGCAACACAAGCCACTGGGGATGAAAATCTTTAGCCCAAGTACTTTCATACTTTTCAGAGCATCATCAGGTGCTGTGCAATGTTAAGTACTTGAGCTAAAGATTCCTCTCCACCCCAATGGCTTGTCTTGCATTGTTAAGATCACTTGTATGCAATTGCTTTCATAAACACTATATATTGTAAACTGCACAAAAAATAAAGTTTGTTTCTTTCTTTATGGAAGGACATGTATTGACAATTTTTTGTTTAATATTTTTTGAAACCTGTGGAAAATGAATATTGTGTAATACACCTACCATCCGACTTACGACTGAGTTCGGTTCCGAGAAACCAGTTGTAAGTCGAAATGGTCGTTAGTCGAACTTTACTACTGAATATCAACAAAACATTTTTGTAATGACTTTATTTTATTGTTTTATTTTGGTATTTCATATTTTACTTTACTTTTTATGTTGTTAGTACTGTATTTTATACTGTAAAGTTTAGGATAAACACTGTGTACAACACAAATAGTTGTTTATTTCCCAGAAATTTGGCATAAAAAACACGGTCGTAAGTCGAGTGGTCGTAAGTCGAGCAGGTCGTAAGTCGGATGGTAGGTGTATTTGTAATAATGTTGGTAGAATTACCGACTATGTAAATAAAAGGACACAAGTGCAACTAATGTGACATTTTTATTGTGGCAACGTTTCGCTCTCCAGGAGCTTTGTCAAGCCATTGACAAAGATCCTGGAGAGTGAAATGTTGCCACAATAAAAATGTCATTAGTTGCACTTGTGTCCTATTACTTGTGTAATATTTATTGATCTTTGATGGTTGAGATGTGAAATTGAGAAGGTTTATGGAATTAATTGATGGTGTTGGTTACCATGTACAAAAGATATCTATATGAATGTGCATTTAAATAACAAAACTCTTCGTGATGCTGCATCTCATCATCACCATACAAAAATAATCTGCACATAGGAGAAAGAAACTTATGATGATGTTATGGTCCAACTTGGCCATTAATGGTCCAAGTCAGACCGAAACATATTATTTGTGTATTGTTCCAGTCACAGTATTATGCCTTTTTGTTCATCATCACCATAATTGCCATTACTATATAGAGAAATTCTTTTAAGAACATTTTTTTATGTGTATTATTTAATGTATAAAATAATGCACCCAGCATGATACAGACACTGAAGAGGCACTGACGGTAGAGAACACTGTGTGGGCTGGCACAGTGGTAGCCTCTGGGAGGCTGCTAGGACTGGTGGTTTACACTGGAGCAGAGACTCGGTCCGTCATGAACAATGCTGCCCCCAGGTCAAAGGTCGGCTTGCTCGACTTAGAAATCAATAATCTCACAAAGGTGATTATTTTGTCTTCTTGTTGGAAGTCTTCTTAGGCATTTCATTCAATATTTTCAACACTGCAATGATTAGAAAATGGAGATTTTAAGTCAATTAGTAACTTCCGTACAGTAAAACTTTCATTTAATGAACTAATATTGGAGAGGGTGTTTGGTAATGCTAGTTGTCCAAAAAATCCAGATAATGTAAAAAATAAAAAAAAAAATTAAACTACAATACTGTAGTGTATACTTATTATAGTACCACACTCACATTGTACACATTTACTCAATAAATATTGAAAATAAAGGAGTTAAAAGTACAATTTAAGTAGTGGATTTTTTCCATGATTTTAAAATTTCATTTTATCAAGGTATGTTATATCAAGGATTTACTGTACAAGCATTCCTAAATGTACAGTGCACTTTTGCCCAATATTTCATTGAATTGAATGTGGTATACTGTAATCTGACAACCCCAAACCTTTACTTTCTGATTTAAACTTGTTTACCAGTTCATGAAAGAAAATGGCTCAACATGAACAAGTTTCAGTCTTACGACTTGATTTTTGCATACAAATACATCTAGTACTGCATATTTCTCCACCATTTACTGGAAATAAATAAACTGGGTAGCTACACACCTCAGCTGGTGTCTAGTCTACTGTGCATGACAGTAGAGAAACTGGTGGAGTACTAGAATATTCTTTATAGAGATGTTTCACTTCATGGCACTTTTCCAATTCACTGTATTGATAAAGTGTCGCGGTATGAAAATCTCAATAAATATAATTGTATTACAAAGAATTAGACACGTGTACAACGTCTGGGTATCTTTATTTGTAGACATTTTGTCATTCAGTGACTTTATCAATACAAGGACAATCTGAAGAATGTAGAATTATATACAAAAGATGAGGTAATGAGTCCCTCAGTCAAGACTGAAGGACTCATTACCTCATATTTTGTAAATAATTTTGCATTCTTCAGATCATGTCCTTGTATTGATAAAACCACTGGATGGCAAAATGTCTACAAATAAAGATACCTAGATGTTGCCCGTGTGTCTAATTCTTCATCTAGTCGGTATTGTATACGGTACGGGTGGGGTTTGAACTCATGGCAAATAAGTCGTTAAACTCCAGGCCAGTGCGTAAGCCACTGGGCCGGCTGGCTACAATAAAATTCATTCAGCCAGGTATATTTTTGTGGTTTATAAGGGGGTTAGCATGGGCCACCACTGTGATCACAAATGCAAGTTTTTACAGATGAATCTCTCACCAGTGTGGCTGTGGCAAACTCTAGCTCAAGTCCCCTCAAAGCTGCCATCATGACTCTTGAAATTGTAATGACACAATTGCAAACAAACTTAATTTGATGAATCTCATTAGAGCCAGCTAGCCCAGTGGCTTACACACTGGCCTGGAGTTTTACCACTCACTTGCCATCGGTTCAAACCCCACCTGTTCCTTGGTTTGTTGGCAATCATGCTATTTTGATTTTGTAAGTCATGGAGGTATTACACATATCTTGATTGCACATTTGTAGCTATTTGATACCATTTTTTTATCCGTAGATACTAGACTCTTTTCTTACAAGATAAATTATATTTTTTACAATGTATTAACTACAAGTCTGGCACTTTACAGGAATAACATTTTGGCATCAGCAAATCATTGATTACTGTACCTATGAGAACTTGGTTTGGTGCACAATTCTTAAAACTGTTAGAGCTCCTGCTAAAGACATTGTTGTTTTCTTGAGAAATATAAATTCTCATAGACATCATATTACAACATGTTCTTTTATCAATATGCTGCACTGGAGAACATACGATCTCATAAACTCTCACTTTTTTTTTTTTTTTCAGCTGTACAGACCATTCACTTACCATTTTACACTGTCAGAGCTCCCATTAAAACCATTCACTGTATTCTTGAATACCATCACACAGTTTTATTTCATATATTTATGACTTGGAGTAACACTTGTGCTCATTTTCTACCTGTCTTTTACATATGTATGTCAATAATTAAGTTTGTTCAACAGCTTCTGTTTGTGGCAGTATTGGGCTTGACTGTTGTGATGATGTGCCTGAAAGGTTTTGGTGGGCCTTGGTATCGTTACTTCTTTCGGTTTATGCTTCTCTTCTCATACATTATACCAATCAGGTAAGGGGTTTTGATTTGAGTAGTGTATTAAAGTGTATTAAAACTTTATCTTACGCTAATAAGACTTGAAGTTCACAATGTTTTTTTCTGAAACTTGGCTCTAAAATATGTATACACTTGTCACTCTTACTATTTTGTTCTTCAAAATGTTCTTCAGTTTGCGAGTGAATTTAGATGTAGGAAAGGCCTTTTATTCCTGGGAGATTCAGCGGGACCAAGAGATGCAAGGGACTGTGGTACGTTCAACGACCATTCCCGAGGAGCTGGGACGTATCACCTACCTACTCACCGACAAGACGGGTACTCTCACGCAAAATGAGATGGTGTTTAAAATTCTTCATCTTGGAACTGTGGCGTATGGGACGGACACATTTGATGAGGTAATTCTACATTTGGATTTTATTGATTTAATTTCCATCATACCATGTGTGAAAATAGCCCAGAATATTTCTCAATTATTCTTCCCATGTGGATAAAATTTCTAAAAGCAAAATGATGGAGGCAGCTGTGGTAGTATACACGAATGCCTGAATTGCAATGATCAGTGCTGATTCACAAAGTTCCAAGACCAAAAGAACAAAAAGGCATAATACCGTGACTGGAACATTACATAAATAATCTGCACATAGGAGAAAAAAAAAACTTATGACTAGTCATTGTGTAACTAATTAATGGTCCAAGTTAGACCGAAACATCTTCACAAGATTCTTTCTCATATGTGCAGATTATTTGTGTATTGTTCCAAGCATATAATATTAAGAGAGTAATTGTTTTATAAACACTGATCTGCATTGAGCATAATTAGCCTTTGTAGTATCATTTTCTGTAGAATAACTTGTTCATGGGTTACAAAGGAATTGTTGGTAAAGTGAAATGCCTGGAATGCATCTCGTTCATACATTGGGGACACCGTGTATGAATGCATTTTTGAGATTATAGTTTATATTTAGTCACGGTTTCGGAGAGACTCAGACTGGCATTACTCTGATTTGGAGAACAAAATCTTCCTCTTTTATAGTACAGGTGCCTCAACTAATGATGGTTTGACTTACAATGTTTTGACTTTACGAAGGCACAGACGCAATTATTTAGGAGATGAAACTTAAGATAATTCATTTATTTACTTTTCAGTAATGGTATTTAGAATAGTTTCAGTAATTATTTGTCTATGTACTTATTCAGCAACAGTAGTTATTTATTTATTTATTTATTTAGCATATATTCATATTCAACCTAGGATATTTTTGAATTATGTTGGGTTTGTCGGAACATAACCCCATCATAAGTCGAGGAGCACCTATATTTCTAATTCATCTTATTGTAGGTAAGAATTAAAATCAAAGTGAGTTCTCTTAATTCTAGTAAAGAATTGGCAATGCCTTCAGTTGTTATAAAGTAGTCAGTAACATCAACCTTATTTTCCTGTAATTCTCCTTGCAGTTTTCCCAGTAATTATCACCAATGTTTCTGCAGGTCTTAGCTCATGTGAAAACGTTCTTCTGCAAAGACGTCAGTAGCACGCGAACATCTACCCCTACACGCATGAGAAAAACTGTGGTGACTCGTGTGGGGGAGGCCGTAAAGGCACTTGCACTGTGCCATAACGTAACCCCAGTATATGAGGCAGATGTAAACTTAGCCACTGAGGAAACAGAAGACATTCAGGTTATGCACAGTGCTGTGTATCAGGCATCCAGCCCTGACGAGGTATGTTGGTATGATGTGAAAATATGCTAACCAAAGGAATGTTTAGCCCTAACATTAAATACTATATTCGGAGTGAAGAAGAACAGGATGTGAGTGTGAGGGAGGTGTGTGAGGCATTACTTAGGATGAAAGGGGGTAAAGCAGCTGGAACTGACGGGATCATGACAGAAATGTTAAAAGCAGGGGGGGATATAGTGTTGGAGTGGTTGGTACTTTTGTTTAATAAATGTATGAAAGAGGGGAAGGTACCTAGGGATTGGCAGAGAGCATGTATAGTCTCTTTATATAAAGGGAAGGGGGACAAAAGAGATTGTAAAAATTATAGAGGAATAAGTTTACTGAGTATACCAGGAAAAGTGTACGGTAGGGTTATAATTGAAAGAATTAGAGGTAAGACAGAACATAGGATTGCGGATGAGCAAGGAGGTTTCAGAGTGGGTAAGGGATGTGTAGATCAAGTGTTTACATTGAGGCATATATGTGAACAGTATTTAGATAAAGGTAGGGAAGTTTTTATTGCATTTATGGATATAGAAAAGGCATATGATAGAGTGGATAGGGGAGCAATGTGGCAGATGTTGCAAGTAAATGGAATAGGTGGTAAGTTACTAAATGCTGTAAAGTTTTTATGAGGATAGTGAGGCTCAGGTTAGGGTGTGTAGAAGAGAGGGAGAATACTTCCCGGTAAAAGTAGGTCTTAGACAGGGATGTGTAATGTCACCATGGTTGTTTAATATATTTATAGATAGGGTTGTAAACGAAGTAAATGCTGAGGTGTTCGGGAGAGGGGCGGGATTAAATTATGGAAAATCAAATACAAAATGGGAATTGACACAGTTGCTTTTTGCTGATGATACTGTGCTCATGGGAGATTCTAAAGAAAAATTGCAGAGGTTAGTGGATGAGTTTGGGAGTGTGTGTAAAGGTAGAAAGTTGAAAGTGAACATAGAAAAGAGTAAGGTGATGAGGGTATCAAATGATTTAGATAAAGAAAAATTGGATATCAAATTGGGGAGGAGGAGTATGGAAGAAGTGAATGTTTTCAGATACTTGGGAGTTAACGTGTCAGTGGATGGATTTATGAAGGATGAGGTTAATCATAGAATTGATGAGGGCAAAAAGGTGAGTGGTGTGTTGAGGTATATTTGGAGACAAAAAACATTATCTATGGAGGCAAAGAAGGGAATGTATGAAAGTAAAAAACATTATCTATGGAGGCAAAGAAGGGAATGTATGAAAGTATAGTAGTACCAACACTCTTATATGGGTGTGAAGCTTGGGTTGTGAATGCAGCAGTGAGGAGGCGGTTGGAGGCAGTGGAGATGTCCTGTCTAAGGGCAATGTGTGGTGTAAATATTATGCAGAAAATTCAGTGTGGAAATTAGGAGAAGGTGTGGAGTTAATAAAAGTATTAGTCAGAGGGCTGAAGAGGGGTTGTTGAGGTGGTTTGGTCATTTAGAGAGAATGGATCAAAGTAGAATGACATGGAGAGCATATAAATCTGTAGGGGAAGGAAGGCGGAGTAGGGGTCGTCCTCGAAAAGGTTAGAGGGCGGAGGTAAAGGAGGTTTTGTGGGCGAGGGGCCTGGACTTCCAGCAAGCGTACGTGAGTGTGTTAGATAGGAATAAATGGAAACGAATGGTATTTGGGACATGACGACCTGTTGGAGTGTGAGCAGGGTAATATTTAGTGAAGGGATTCAGGGAAACCGGTTATTTTTATATAGCCGGACTTGAGTCCTGGAAATGGGAAGTACAATGCCTGCACTCTAAAGGAGGAGTTCGGGATATTGGCAGTTTGGAGGGATATATTGTGTATCTTTATAGGTATATGCTTCTAAGTTGTTGTGTTCTGAGCACCTCTGCAAAAACAGTGATTATGTGTTAGTGAGGTGAAAGTGTTGAATGATGAAAGTATTTTCTTTTTGCGGATTTTCTTTCTTTTTTGGGTCACCCTGCCTCGGTGGGAGACGGCCGACTTGTTAAAAAAAAAAATCAGATATTTTATATTATGAGGCTGTGATTAGCCACTAATATGACCAACAATACACTCAGGTGAAGATGTCAATGCACAATGCTTTTCCCATGTGTGAAATTGCTGTCCTTATTTCATATATTTCAGTCAGATATTCATCTAACAATTAATAATTATTACAGCCTTATATATTTGTGCATTAAGTATAGTACTTTAGTAGGTAAGTGTTTAGAGCACCTTTAATTATCTTTGACCCTGATCAAGAACATGCCTCTAGGTTTCTCTGGTACGGTGGACAGAGTGTGTCGGCCTACCCTTGGTGCATCGGGACCTGACCACCCTGACCCTGCGCACACCAGCTGGTAAAAGCCTCACTTATACTGTCCTCCAGATCTTTCCTTTTACTTCTGAAACAAAAAGAATGGGTATCATTGTGAAGGTGAGTATCTAGTGTACACAGTACAGCATTGGTTTCTTTCCTAGTTTTTAAAAGTCATATAACATGATGTTGATTATAATTGTTTTTAACACATTGGCCATTTCCCACCAAGACAGGGTGGCCCAAAAAAGAAAAATTTTCATCATCATTCACTCCATCACTCTTTTACCAGTGATGGAGTGATATTTACAAATTTTAGGCCAGGATCATTACATTAAGGGTATACACTAACAAGAAGTTGATGAATAAGACACATTTGCCACACCTAGGTGTCTTTATTATGAAGATACTCAAGTGTTGAACATGTGCCGTATTCACCAACCAGTGGCTTTTTTAGTTCACTACAGAGATTATATCCAGGAGACAATGCAAAAAGTGGTGAAAGTGTTTCTTCTTTTTTGGGTTACCCTGCCTTGGTGGGAGACAGACTTTTTTTTTTCTTTTAAATATAAGCGGAGAGATGATTTTGAGATGTTCAGGCCCTCAGCCTTAATAGAAGATAATGAGTCCTTTAGCCTTGAAAAGATTAAGGGATATAACAGTATACAAATTGCTCAATAGCCATGTATTACAGTGAGGCTGTTATATTTATCTCCTATGTGTGGGTTATTTGTGTATGGCTTTGTCTTTGTTGTTTTGAAAATATTTTTGGTTTTGGCAGGAGGAATCAACAGGAGAAATAGTTCTCTACATGAAGGGAGCAGACACAGTGATGTCGTCCATGGTAGAATATAATGACTGGCTGGAAGAAGAGTGTATAAACTTAGCTCAGAAGGGTCTTCGTACTTTAGTTGTGGCTCGCAAGGTCCTGACAGCAGAACAGTACACGCATTTTGAGGTACTGTACTGTTTTGCAGTGGTTCTTTAATAAGTAACATGCAGTTAGCTGTCTTTTAAAACCATGTATGTAGTGTATTTTTTGCAAATGCAATTGAAAAAGCACATTCAAAATGAATAGCATTTACGAGAAGGTCTTTTGGTGTGCTATTTACTTTTGAATGAAAATTTTCAATCACATATACAAAAATTACTCTGTATATAGGAGCTTTATAAAACAGCTTACTCTTTTATATGATGGCATATTTGCATGTTTATATATAGATGTTCAATCTACCTTTGATATACCTATGATGAGTTCAAGAGTTTTCCTACTTGCAGAGTGTGGCCTTGGGCTAAGGCTCACATCCATGTTTTTAATTAGTGTGGTATACCGTTCCTCATTACCAACTCAGCAGTCAGCTCACTTGAGATTTCTTGGGCCTGCAGTACAGGTGAACTTTAACATTGCTTAGTTATTAGGCATGAAAAAAAACAGGGGAAGGAAGGCAGGCTGGCTAGTTGCCTACCAGTAACAGTGTAAGAGTTAAGTGTTGTAAGTTGCTTTATTTTGTTTGAAGTTTTAAATTATTTAAACAATTTAAGAAAACATATGCACGGCACTGTATTACGTGTTGTAAACTATAGTACATGTACTTTTCAGTACATAATACAGTACTGTAATGGTTTTCCTAGGTTTGTGATGCCTCATTTCTCTAACTAATCCCATATGTGCAGTATATTATAAGGAAGTGCAACATACCACTAAAACAAGCATTCAGTATTCTCTGGAGAAAGAGCTACCATGGGCCAGAAAAAGCAACTCCTGCATACAATGAAGGACACACAAAATCATGAAACGTTTCCACTTTTTTTTTTTTTGTCAGCCTGGTTGATCAGACAAGTACCAGACAGGTGTGGCCCAGAGCCAGGTTGCAGAAGTAGGAAAACTCTCGAAACCCTCTCAGTGTTACACGAAATCAGTCGATCAAGCAATTTATTTCCACACAGTACATTTTTCATCATAACAAGGTACATGAGGATAAGGATACTTAGATTATACAATGCCTGCACTTTAAAAGAGGGGTTTGGGATATTAGCTGTTTGGAGTGACATCTAACCTGTCATATCTGGGTACCTCTGCAAAGACAGTGATTATGTGTGAATGATGGTGAAAGTGTTTCTTTCTTATTTGGATCATCCTGCCTCAGTGGGAGATGGCTGACATGTTAAAAACATTAAGTGATAGTAAATAGGATGAGATAATTGATAGTGAGATTATTATTATTGTTATTATCACACTGGCCGATTCCCACCAAGGCAGGGTGGCCCGAAAAAGAAAAACTTTCACCATCATTCACTCCATCACTGTCTTGCCAGAAGGGTGCTTTACACTACAGTTTTTAAACTGCAACATTAACACCCCTCCTTCAGAGTGCAGGCACTGTACTTCCCATCTCCAGGACTCAAGTCCGGCCTGCCGGTTTCCCTGAATCCCTTCATAAATGTTACTTTGCTCACACTCCAACAGCACGTCAAGTATTAAAAACCATTTGTCTCCATTCACTCCTATCAAACACGCTCACGCATGCCTGCTGGAAGTCGAAGCCCCTCGCACACAAAACCTCCTTTACCCCCTCCCTCCAACCCTTCCTAGGCCGACCCCTACCCCGCCTTCCTTCCACTACAGACTGATACACTCTTGAAGTCATTCTGTTTCGCTCCATTCTCTCTACATGTCCGAACCACCTCAACAACCCTTCCTCAGCCCTCTGGACAACAGTTTTGGTAATCCCGCACCTCCTCCTAACTTCCAAACTACGAATTCTCTGCATTATATTCACACCACACATTGCCCTCAGACACGACATCTCCACTGCCTCCAGCCTTCTCCTCGCTGCAACATTCATCACCCACGCTTCACACCCATATAAGAGCGTTGGTAAAACTATACTCTCATACATTCCCCTCTTTGCCTCCAAGGACAAAGTTCTTTGTCTCCACAGACTCCTAAGTGCACCACTCACTCTTTTTCCCTCATCAATTCTATGATTCACCTCATCTTTCATAGACCCCTCCGCTGACATGTCCACTCCCAAATATCTGAATACGTTCACCTCCTCCATACTCTCTCCCCCCAATCTGATATTCAATCTTTCATCACCTAATCTTTTTGTATCCTCATAACCTTACTCTTTCCTGTATTCACCTTTAATTTTCTTCTTTTGCACACCCTACCAAATTCATCCACCAATCTCTGCAACTTCTCTTCAGAATCTCCCAAGAGCACAGTGTCATCAGCAAAGAGCAGCTGTGACAACTCCCACTTTGTGTGTGATTCTTTATCTTTTTAAATCCACGCCTCTTGCCAAGACCCTCGCATTTACTTCTCTTACAACCCCATCTATAAATATATTAAACAACCACGGTGACATCACACATTCCTTGTCTAAGGCCTACTTTTACTGGGAAAAAATTTCCCCTCTTTCCTACATACTCTAACTTGAGCCTCACTATCCTCGTAAAAACTCTTCACTGCTTTCAGTAACCTACCTCCTACACCATACACTTGCAACATCTGCCACATTGCCCCCCTATCCCCCCTGTCATACGCCTTTTCCAAATCCATAAATCCCACAAGACCTCTTTAGCCTTATCTAAATACTGTTCACTTATATGTTTCACTGTAAAACACCTGGTCCACACACCCCCTACCTTTCCTAAAGCCTCCTTGTTCATCTGCTATCCTATTCTCCGTCTTACTCTTAATTCTTTCAATTATTACTCTACCATACACTTTACCAGGTACACTAAACAGACTTATCCCCTATAATTTTTGCACTCTCTTTTGTCCCCTTTGCCTTTATACAAAGGAACTATGCATGCTCTCTGCCAATCCCTAGGTACCTTACCCTCTTCCATACATTTATTAAATAATTGCCCCAACCACTCCAAAACTATATCCCCACCTGCTTTTAACATTTCTATCTTTATCCCATCAATCCCGCCTGCCTTACCCCTTTCATTTTACCTACTGCCTCACGAACTTCCCCCACACTCACAAAATGGCTCTTCCTCACTCCTACAAGAGTTATTCCTCCTTGCCCTATACACGAATATCACAGCTTCTATCTTCATCAACATTTAACAATTCCTAAATATTCCCTCCATTTCCAATACCTCTATTTTTAATACTTCTCCTTTATTAAGAAAATCCATGAAGGGATTCAGGGTAACCTGTATTCACCAAAATTTTTCTTGATTGGGAAAGTAGTGATAAGCATCTAACACTCCCATTTGTGCTCTTTTTACATTGCCACACTTTAAACTTACTCTTTTCTAAATTCTCCTCATTTCTACTTTGTAAAAACTTTCATATGCTAACTTTTTCTCCTTACTACTTTTTATCATGCAATTCCAATTCTCTCTTCCCTCCTGCACCACTTTCCTGTAACCACAAACTTGCTGGGAACACTCTAACAGCTACATTTTTAACTACCATCCTCTTCGCCATTGCTATGCTATTGCCCTCTATCCTCAAAGTGTTTATTTACTACTGCTCCTTTTTAGTTTAAACTTCTTCTCCTATGTTTATTTCTTGCCATCACCTTTTAATAGTAAACTAAAATGATTGATTTAAATGTGGCCCCTTATAAACATGTACATATGAGTCTACTTCAACAGCTTATATACTAACAATACAAATCCAACAAACTACTGTCATTTTATCATCATATCTTGTATACTTATTTTATCTCTTTTTCTTAAAATTTTTGGTATTAGAATAACTAAAACACTTTCTATACAATAAGGGGTCAATCAAAGGAGCTCCATTATCATTTACACCTGGACAAAATTGTACAACACCTCTCTAAAGGTTTCTTACTTTAGTTCCAAGTCCCTACCACCAATTTCCTACTTTTGTTAGCAGGTCTTCTATAAAATCAGTTAAGCGTCTCCCAAAAATCTCTTTTTTCTGCATTCCTCTCTTCTCACAGGTGCATACACGCTTTTTTATGACCAATTTTCTCCATCCAATTTACTTGTATATCGACATAATTCTTTTATTATCACATTCATATTATCTTTCTTCCTTGATAACTATCATTTAAATCATACTGCACCCTTCCTTGCCTAACCTTCAGATACCAGATTTAATATTTATTCTTCCCATGAAACTTCTACCTTCAGCTTTGTTTCGCTTGGGCCAGGACAGTAACTTCTTTTTCATTCATAAAAAATCAGCAATCATCTGGCTTGTCTCCGACCATACGACATTAAGCAAAGTTTGTAAAATTTTTTTCTTCTTTTTTAAATAAATTTTATACAGAAAGAGGGTTATAGCCTTGCTCCCGGCATTTTTGCATCATTACACACGCATGGTTTCAGGAAGATGTCTTTTCAACTTCCCATGGACAATAGGAATGCAAATACAAAAGAACAAGACTATTTAGAAAGAAGGAGAAAAAACCTGATTATGAATATATTTATATGGGATGTGGTGACATGTGAAGTGTGACCAAGTGTAAGTAGGAGTAGACACGATATCCTGTTTATCTAGCGTTTTATGAGACAGAAAAAGAACAACAGCAATTAACATCTGCAAAAAGCAGTTACAAGGTTTTTGTTTCACCAGTCAATTTGGAGGAAAGGTAGTACTTGCCCTGGGTGGTTGCTGTCTACCAACCTACTACCTATAGTGAGATATGTGAGATAGTGAGATATGTTGCAGTTTTTTAACTTAAGTATTGGCACGCCTCTGGGAAGACAGTGATGGAGTGAGTGACAATAAAAGTGTTTCTTCTTTTTCGAGTCACCCTACCTCGGTGGGAAACAGCAAATGTGTTAAAAAAATGGTAGGATAGATGACTGGGGATACAGTGCCATCATCAGTCATACTGTCAGACTAACATAATTTTATAAAGTTTAGTTTTACATTGTTTTCCACACTGATAATTTAATATTGTCTTCATCACTGCTCTGATGTTGTACCACTTTGCTTCCACGATGCAGCAACGATATACAGCAGCCAAGTTAAGTGTAACAGAGAGAGGAAGTCGTGTAGCAGCAGTTGTGGAGAGTCTGGAGTGTGACCTTGAACTCTTGTGCCTTACTGGAGTCGAGGATAAACTGCAAACCAATGTTAAACAAACTCTTGAGCTGTTGAGAAATGCTGGGATTAAGGTAAACTATATTACTATTATTTTTTTCAGCACACTAAACCATTTTGGGGTCTTACAGCACCTAATAACTTTGTTATTGTTTCAATTTTTATTTTTACGGGGGAAACCCTAGTCTTGGATTAGGGTTACTCTCCTGGGGTGTAATCAAGTTTGATCCTAGGAAGGACAGGGTAGCTCCAGTTCCTTATATCAAGAGTTCTTCACCAGTGTCAAATCATCCTTATTGAATGGTGGGATTAGTGCTCTTTTTTTTTTTTAATCACATTCGCTGTCTCCAACCAAGGTAAGGTCCCCACCCCCCCAAAAAAAAAAATAAGAGAGCTAACCATCATTCATGTAGTAGCTGTCTTGCTATAGGTGACTCACGAAATCGTAATGACATGATTGCAAACAAACCATACCACGGGCGGGGATTGAACTCGTGGCTACATGCTGGCCTAGAGCTTTATGACTCACTCACCACAAGTTCATTCCCTTCCTGTAGTATGGTTTGTCATTGGTGCACAGACCTAGGGACTTACTTTGCTAAAGCAGTCTCTTGTCATGTCCCTAGTGACCATGATATAAAATTCTCAATACCATGTTGGTCTCATGGCTACAGAATCAAATCACTTGGATGAAACAGCGTATTGCCGACACATCCGCATCTACAAGTAAAGATACACAGATGTTGCACATGTCTAATTCATCAAAACATGTTCAACAGTTGGGTATCATTATTGTCAACAGGAAAGATGCCCAACTGCTATCGGCATTTGATGCTGTAAATACAACGATACAAAGGTAATATTTTGTTTTAGGACTTGATAAAGCTCTACCCTGATCAAAAAGTTGCTCCAATAAAAAACTCTTTCGACAATTTGAGTCTTGTTTTTTATACAGCATCAGATCAGTACTTGATGGACTAAGCAACAGTTGTGGCTAACCACACTGAGTTCTTTTGTATGCTGTGTGGTTAAGTCGCTGCAGGTCCAGACTCCCAACATTGTTTATCTTAGTGGTGCTGCATAATATAACCAGAATACTGACCTTATCCATAGGGAAGTGGGAAAGAATTCTTCCTCCATAAGCCATGAGTGTTGTAAGAGGCAACTAAAATGCCAGGAGCAAGGGGCTAGTAACCCTTTTCCTGTATACATTACTGAATTTAAAAAGAGAAACTTTTGTTTTTCTTTTTGGGCCACCCTGCCTTGGTGGGATATGGCCAGTTTGTTGAAAAAAGAAAGAATAAAGTTTCCCAAATGTTGCACTTGTAGTATCCATTCCATTCCAAGAATTAAACTTAGGGCTATTGGGATGCTAAATAACTAAATTTTAGAAATTTTTCTAAACCATATTGATAATGTAAGATTTGTTAGAATCTAATTCCTTCAAATGTTATATTTTCTTTCAGACATGCATTCTTTATTTAAAACACGGGGTAGGGGTCGTCCTCGAAAAGGTTGGAGGGAGGGGGTAAAGGAGGTGTTGTGGGCAAGGGGTTTGGACTTCCAGCAAGCGTGCGTGAGCGTGTTAGATAGGAGTGAATGGAAACAAACGGTATTTGGGACCTGACGATCTGTTGGAGTGTGAGCAGGGTAATATTTAGTGAAGGGATTCAGGGAAACCAGTTATTTTATATAACTGGACTTGAGTCCTGGAAATGGGAAGTACAATGCCTGCATTCTAAAGGAGGGGTTTGGGATATTGGCAGTTTGGAGAGATATATTGTGTATTTTTATACGTATATACTTCTAAACTGTTGTATACTGGGCACCTCTGCAAAAACAGTGATTATGTGTGAGTGAGGCAAAAGTGTTGAATGATGATGAAAATATTTTCTTTTTGGGGATTTTCTTTCTCTTTTGGTCACTCTACCTCGGTGGGAGACGGCTGGCTTGTTAATAAAAAAAAAAATTAAACTAGTGCCTTTTTTTTTCAGATATGGATGTTAACTGGAGATAAACTAGAAACTGCTACTTGCATTGCAAAGAGTTCTCGTCTTGTATCACCCAACCAGGGCCTCCACGTCATGGGTAATGTGTCAACGCGGAGAGAAGCTCATTTGGAACTGAATGCCCTCAGAAGAAAGAGCGATTCAGCTCTTATTATTAAAGTAATTTGCTTGTGCTCTTGATATATGATTCCTTTGTACACTGGGAAAGGGATAAGAGAGAGAGAGAGAGAGAGAGTTCATAAGAAATACTATTTAAAGGAAAAAGTGTGGTAAGTATGGCATTTATTGTGTATGGCAGATTTGTGATTGAAAATTATTGAAAAGACAGTATGATTACAAGACATATTGGAGGTAGAAAGGAGAGGGTATGTGAGAATCAGATGTTTGACAAGATAAAATAACTATTTAATTCATTTACAGATTTTGAAAAATTATATGACATGGTGGATTGGGCAGTAATGTGTCAAGTGCAGCACAAGTATGGTTATAGACAATAAGTTGTTAAAAATTGTAGAGTTTTCATGAAGGGATTGAAATGCAGGTTAGGATGTGTAGGACAGTGGGAGAAAGATTTTCACTAATACTAACACAGATACAAGTTTATTTCAACATGATACATTAAATAACAAAAAAAGGCACAATACCGTGACTGGAACGATACACAAATAACCCGCACATAAAAGAGAGAAGCTTACGACGACGTTTCGGTCCGACTTGGACCATTTACAAAGTCACAGTGTGACTTTGTAAATGGTCCAAGTCGGACCGAAATGTCGTCGTAAGCTTCTATGTTTTATGTGCGGGTTATTTGTGTAACATGATACATTGTTTATACAGAAGCAGGTGACACTTGAGAGCATTTTGAAAGCTCATAATTATGCAGAGCATTTATGGCAAGAATAGCCTAACTTGAAGATTACAAGGGCATATCAATGTATATGATGTCAGAAATAATTATTTGGGTTATGGTCTGCTAAGTTTATAATGTTATCCATGGAGGCAAAGAAAGGAATACATGAAAGTATAGTGATACCAACACTCTTATATGGGTGTGAAGCATGGGTTGTAAATGCTGCAGCGAGGAGGTGGCCGGAGGCAGCAGAGATGTCCTGTCTAAAGACAATGTGTGGTGTAAATATTATGCAGAGAATTCTTAGTGTGGAAATTAAGAGGTGTGGAGTTACTAAGAGTATTAATCAGAGGGGATGTTGAGGTAGTTTGGTTATTTAGAGAGAATAGAACAAAGAATGACTTGGAGAGCATATAAATCTGTAAGGGAAGGAAGGCAGGGTAGGGGTTGGCCTCAAAAAGGTTGGAAGGAGGGGGGTAAAGGAGGTTTTGTGGGCGATAGGGTTTGACTTCCAGCAAGCATGAAATGAGCATGTTAGATAGGAGTGAATGGAGATGAATGGTTTTTGGGACCTGACGAGCTGTTGAAGTGTGAGCAGGGTAATATTTTGTGAAGGGATTCAGGGAAACTGGTTAGCCAGACTTGAGTCCTGGAAATGGGAAGTACAATGCCTGCACTTTAAAGGAGGGGTTTGGGATATTGGCAGTTTAGAGGGATATGTTGTGTATCTTTATATGTATATGCTTCTAAACTGTTGTATTCTGAGCACCTCTGCAAAAACAGTGATAATGTGTGAGTGTGGTGAAAGTGTTGAATGATGATAAAAGTATTTTCTTTTTGGGAATTTTCTTTCTTTTTTGGGTCACCCTGCCTCGGTGGGAGACGGCCGACATGTTGAAAAAAAAAAATCAGTAATTCTACCAGAATTATTGTGGTTTTCATTTTTATGTGTTCTAAAAAAAAAATTGTTTTGCAGAAAGCAGCCGTGGTTCGCCTTATACAGAGACACACGCAAAAGCGGGCAGCTGCCGTAGGAGATGGTGGCAATGACGTCTCCATGATTCAGGCTGCAGATGCTGGTATTGGTATAGTTGGCAAGGTAGGGTTTTCTGCTCCAAAAACATACATGCATAGTATGCTGGTTTAGTGCAAGTCAGCTTTGTGATGAAGGATAGTATGTAGTTTCTTTTTCTATAGTATCCTGGCATTGAGGACAAAGTCCTTTGGTTTATAGAGGTATCTTAAGCAAAGTATTTCACTTTCCCTGGATACAGTTTGAATCAATCAGCTAGCATCCAGGTGCCTGTTTACTATTGAGTTAATAGAGGAAGTATGTAGGTGATATATAGGACCAATTGGCAAAGTGGTTATTTCAGGGCCCTATCAACATGAAAGTCCCAAATTGATTTGCATTGAGTAAATGCTATTGGTTTCTAATGTAATTTAAGATGCTGTTGGTTTCTAATACAATTTAAGATACTGTTGGTTTTCAGTACAATTTAAAGTAATGTGTCCATTTATCTAACAAGTTACCTACCAGGGTTACTAATACAAATATATCGTTACATTTCAAAATATTTATTTGTATTTAAGATTTTGCTCATTTGAGTAATATACAGGAGGGCCTCGCTTATACAGCATGCTAGGTTTCAGGCTACAGCTGTAAAGTAAATATTGCTATAAAGTGAAACATAGCCTTTTTTCACTTTCAAATGAATATAAAATTTAATTAAAATACTCACCATTCATGGTGATGTGGATCTTTATGGATTCACAGGTGTGCAGTCACTGCCTTAGCAGTCAGTCTTGGATTTTTTATATTCCTCAAGGGTGACAGAATGGGACCCACTATATTATCAGTCTTGATACCTAAGATTCGACTTTTGATAAAAGTAATTACACACCACAAAATTCCAGTTTCAGGGAAAAATTTGGATTTGCTGACCAGACTGTTTGTGGAAATCACATTTTTCAGATCATTGTGTGGTGTGAATATTATGCAGAGCATATGGAATGAAGAAGCTTGTAAGATATAATGTAAGAAAGGAGAAGAAAAAGGATTGTTAAGAGTTATTGAAATAGGGATTATTGTAGTTGGGTTACTTAATATGTGATGTTAATGTCTGAATAAACATTTTAAAAATGTTTATTCAGACGCAAGAAATCATAATAACACGATTGCAAACAATTCAGGGAATGGGTTGGATTTGAACCCATGACATGGATTCAGGTCCCATACATTCAGTGATTTAAAGATGTATTGTTTACGGTAGTCCCCCTGTATCCATGCCATGGGCTCAAGTCCCACACGTTCCATGATTTAAAAATGTATTGTTTACTCATGATCAACGTGAAAATGTCTTCCACAGGAAGGAAAACAGGCATCCTTAGCAGCAGACTTCAGCATTGAACAGTTCCAGCACATCGCTAGACTCTGTCTAGTACACGGTCGTAACTCGTACAAGCGCTCGGCGGCACTCTCTCAGTTTGTGATGCACCGAGGCCTAATCATATCCACCATTCAAGCAATATTTTCTTCCATCTTCTATTTTTCCAGTGTTGCTCTGTATCAAGGATTCCTCATGGTTGGGTGAGTGCAGTGTTGTACACCCTTAGAATTTTATGGCTTTATATTTTCCATAGAATAGTGTGTATTAAGCTTTCCTTCAGAATCTCCTATAATGTATATAGCCTGTTATTAAATGTCACAATAACAACACAGCTCCTCAATATGTTAAAAATTAAAGTTGGAGATTCTAATAAATGGTGTTCACTTATTATTTTTTTTAATAATGGCTATCTCCCATGGAGGCAGGGTGACCTGAAAAAGAAGAAATGTAAAGTTTTTCTTCTTTTTACATTTAGTAATTTTATACAGGGGAAGGGTTACTAGCCCCTTGCTTCCAGCATTTCACTTGCCTCTTTTGACATGCATAATCACTGATAATTTTTTTTTTCAATGAACCAGCCAGATCCCACCAAGGCAGTGTGATCTAAAAACAAAAATGAAAGTTTCTCTTTTGAAATTTATTAATGTATACAGGAATGGTTACTAGCCTCTTGCTCCCAGTATTTCAGTTACCTCTTATGACACGCTTGGTCACTGATAATATATTAACTTATATAAATATGGCACTTCACTTTACATAGTTTTTGTGTGCATTTTCAGGTATGCTACCTTCTACACCAACTTCCCTGTGTTCTCACTGGTCCTGGATCATGATGTCTCTCCAAACATAGCTCTCACCTACCCTGAGCTCTACAAGGATCTCACAAAAGGAAGATCTTTATCTTATAAGACTTTCTTTGTATGGGTGCTCATTAGCATTTATCAGGGTATGTAAAAATCTATTTAAACTGTCTAAAAGGCCACAGGTATCATGAGCCAACAAAATGCCTTTGTGACATGCCTATAACCAGTTTAAATCATTTCAGGGTTTCTGACGTACTAGTACGGCTTATGCACCAGGGTTTTTGACGTACTAGTCGCCTAAATTATAGCGCCCTCAAATCTAGTGAGAGAAAGCTGGTAGGCCTACATATGAAAGAATGGGTCTATGTGGTCATTGTGCACAGTATAAAAAAAATCCTGCAGCACACAGTGCGTAATGAGAAAAAAAAAACTTTGACAGTGTTTTTGGTTTAAAACAGCAACTTTTCACTGTATTTTTGTATGGTATTTATGATGATATTCTAGTTTTCCTGGTCTCATTTTATAGAACGGAAGACATATTATAGAAATTGAGATGATTTTGATTGCTTTTACAATGAAAAGTACCTTGAAATTGAGCTCAAAGTAGCAGAAATCTTCGATTTTTGCCAAAGTTCAAAAGTAAACAAATCATGCTATGCATCCAATACACTTCAACTGGTGAGTCTAATATTCTCTCACAAGTGCACTGATATTATTTATACCATTTCTACACTAATGCAGTAGTCTGCATAACAGTAAATCTTCTATTTTTTTGGGAGAATAAAAATTCAAAGTGGAAAGCAAAAGAATGTAAGAGGGGCCTGGGGACGTGACTAATGAACAGAGGAAATGTTATTTTAGTGCCAGGAATGTCTTTCTTGTTTATTCTGAACTCTATTTGGAAATTGGCATCTTTTGAAATTTGTGTGAAATTGGCAAAATTGCTAAATTCTGACCACTTTATTGGATAGTTGAAATCGGTAAATGGGTGGTTTCTTGTACTCATTCGATAGAAAAAATGGAGTTCTAGCGAAATAGTTATGATTGTTGTTGACTAGTGCACTGGAGTTGGCCGAAAATAGAGCTCAAATTGGGCAAAATTGCCGATGCGTAAACACCGTTGAGACTGCTAACTTCACGAGAGCATAATTCTGTAAGTTTTCCATCAAATTTCATACTTTCGGTGTCATTATGATCGGGAAAAGATTCTCTATCTTTTCACAAGAAAAAATAATTTTTTTTTTTTTTAAATTTGTCGACCCTGAGAACAAGTCTGGGAGAGGGCCTGTCGACCCTGAAAGAGTTAAGGATTATTCTGTTCTCACAGCCAGTGGGAGACCTACATTTTTGGGGCCATGAAGCTTGAACTGTTATGAGGGCCCCTTCACAACCCCTTCTCATACACTAGACCCAAAATTTTTAAGCATTGTTTACTAAAGTCACTTCTGGGGCCCCTCTGGGATTAGGGGCCCCTGAAGCTTAAGCCCCATTAGTTTCACAGCAGATCCACCCCTGCTCATAGCCCAACCTGGGGCCAGGCTTGCTTGTTGGCTACTTGTCCCTACTTATTCCCTACATAAGAAATCACTGATAGAAATAGCATTGCATAAAAGAAATTTACAAATAGTGACTTATCATAATCAAGGAATACTGTATTTAGTGCAACAGTTTAAGGAATATAATGATTATTTTATTGCCATAAATATATTCAAGTAGAGACTAATTCTGAAAACTATTTACAACAGAAAACATTAGAATATTTAAATTTTTCTTTTGTTAACTTTCATGCCTTTGCCTTCATAACTGGGAAAAACAAATGGATGTACAGTCCCCTCCCTTTATCAGAAACCCTTGGGGCCAGCAGTGTTTCGAATTTCAGCATGAAGGTGGGGTCTAGGCCAACAGGCCTACTGCAGTGTTCCTCCTTTCTTATGTTCTTATGTACCCATGACACCAATCATACCCAGCTCTTCCCACTCATATATTTGTCCAATCTCTTTTTTAAAGCTACCCAAGGTCCTGTCGAAGGTTAAACCTTGGGTAGTTTCAAATTTAGGCTGGATAAATACATGAGTGAGAGGGGTTGGATTTGCGTGGAACTTGCACGTGAGTAAATAGAATTATCAAAGCTTATTACTTAGGTAGCATTTAAAATTGAGTTGGGCAAATATTCTGTTAGTGGGATGGATTGTGAAGGACCTGCCTAGTATGGGCCAGCAGGCCTACTGCAGTGTTCCTCCTTTCTTATGTTCTTATGACACAACTGGCGATGTTAGAGTTATATAGTGATGGCTGACGCTCCACACTAGACGAAAAACTTTGGTTTTTGGACCTTTTAGAATTTCAGAATTTCGAATAAAGGGATGGGGACTGTATTATGATTTACTTATTATTATATTCTAATTTACATCCTTATGTTCTGATTAGCATCCTTATATTCTGAGTTGCATCCTTATATTCTGATTTGCATCCTTATATTCTGATTTACATTCTTATATTTTGATTTACTTAAGCTTTATATTATGATTGACATCATCCTTGTATTCCTCTAGGTGGAGTACTCATGTATGGTGCAATGTTGCTGTTTGAGGACGAGTTGATTCATGTTGTGAGCATCAGTTTCACTTCACTCATCCTGACGGAGTTACTCATGGTGGGTCTGACAGTGCGCACCTGGCATCCCCTCATGATTGTCGCACAGTTTCTCTCACTCGGCTTCTATGCCTTATCAATCATCTTTATGCATTACTTTGGTGAGTATTAATGTTTAAGGACCTACTAATGTACTGTGATAATTCTTAACTAGAATGTGCATCAAAAGTTATTTAGCAAAATGTGAAGAATATACTTAGTGTAAGCCTTAAGCAGTACAGTACATATTATAGGTCCTCCTTGACTTACAATGCTGTTACGCTCCAACGAATCCATAGTAAGTCGAAAATATTATTAAATTCGAATATAAATATAATGTGATAAATAAGTAAATAAATAAATGCTGTCACTTAATAAGTAAATAAACAGCTAATTACTGTAACTATTTATATACCAGTATTGAAAAGTAAATAAATGAATACAAGTTACGGACTTGCCGTTTTCATACTGGGTAATTATCGTAAGTTTCACCTCCAAAGTACAGTGGACCCCCGCTTAACGATCACCTCCAAATGCGACCAATTATGTAAGTGTATTTATGTAAGTGCGTTTGTACGTGTATGTTTGGGGGTCTGAAATGGACTAATCTACTTCACAATATTCCTTATGGGAAAAAATTCGGTCAGTACTGGCACCTGAACATACTACTGGAATGAAAAAAGTTCGTTAACCGGGGGTCCACTGTAATTGCTTTTGCACCATCATAAAGTTGAAATATCATAGGTCGAGGAACAGTTGTAGTCATAGCCAAGCCTTGGTTTGCAAAGTTGCATGTAGCTCATTTGCTCACTCAATGCATCTTTCTAAACAATGTTTTAGTTGACTTTGCTGTGGATATTGTCTCATTGAACTACAGTGGATAAGGCTAATACCAACCCTCCATATAATGGCCCTCTATAACAGACGGAGAAAAATCGACTGGATCAATCAATTTGGAAAGATTAGACGAAGTCCATTGGTTACTGATTTAACCATTATTGTGACAATCAGGGCAAAAACATAGTCTTCTCTGTCTACCACAATTTCCATTACTTACCATTTGCTCCTTTCCCAATCAATTACTTATATGGAGGGGTTACTGTTGTGGTTTGCAGCTTGCAAGCCAAGTCTTAGCTACATCTGGTACACAGTACTATATAGTATACAGTATTCAAAATATCTAATACATCTTTGGCAATATTTTGTGATCATCATATGGTCATTCTGTGAAATCTAAGTTCCGTTAATTTGTTATCTTTCATTGTGGTTTTAATTTGTATTTATGTTTCTTGGATCAAGAGAGCCTCCACCAACACCAAGGCACTGCCTCCTTGAAGAGTCTTCCACAGTAGTTGTAAGGCCAACCAATTTGCTAATTTTTTATTACTGCATTTTATCAGATATTTTCCCCTTTTTTTTAAAGTTTTTCTTAAATTACCAAGTTATAGTATCCTGCAGTTTAGTTGATGATTTTGTAATCATAAACATAGTGTTATTTTATACTTTATCTAAGGTTTTCACTCACTCCAAAAGGACTTATTCAGAATTATTTGTCAGCTAAGTATGCGTAAGTTTTATCATGTAGAAATCAAGATTATTATTATTATTATTATTATTATTATTATTATTATTCTTTCAACGTACCAGCCGTATCCCACCGAGGCGGGGTGGCCCAAAAGAAAAAACTGAAGTTTCTCCTTTTAAATTTAGTAATATATACAGGAGAAGGGGTTACTAGCCCCTTGCTCCCGGCATTTTAGTCGCCTCTTACGACACGCATGGCTTACAGAGGAAGAATTCTGTTCCACTTCCCCATGGAGATAAGAGGAAATAAACAAGAACAAGAATTAGAAAGAAAATAGAAGAAAACCCAGAGGGGTGTGTATATATATGCTTGTACATGTATGTGTAGTGTGACCTAAGTGTAAGTAGAAGTAGCAAGACTTACCTGTAATCTTGCATATTTATGACACAGACAAAAGACACCAGCAATCCTACCATCATGTAAAACGATTACAGGCTTTCGTTTTACACTCACTTGGCAGGACGGTAGTACCTCCCTGGGCAGTTGTTGTCTACCAACCTACTACCTACATTATTATTATTCTTCTTCTTCTTTCAACACACTGGCCGTATCCCACCGAGGCGGGGTGGCCCAAAAGGAAAAACGAAAGTTTCTCCTTTTACATTTAGTAATATATACAGGAGAAGAGGTTACTAGCTCCTTGCTCCCGGCATTTTAGTCGCCTCTTACAACACGCATGGCTTACGGAGGAAGAATTCTGTTCCACTTCCCCATGGAGGTAAGAAGAAATAAACAAGAACAAGAACTAGAAAGAAAATAGAAGAAAACCCAAAGGGGTGTGTATATATATGCTTGTACATGTATGTGTAGTGTGACCTAAGTGTAAGTAGAAGTAGCAAGACATACCTGAAATCTTGCATGTGTATGAGACAGATAAAAAAGACACCAGCAATCCTACCATCATGTAAAACAATTACAGGCTTCAGTTTTACACTCACTTGGCAGGACGGTAGTACCTCCCTGGGCAGTTGCTGTCTACCAACCTACTACCTACATTATTATTATTATTTTTATTATTATTCTTTCAACACACCAGCCGTATCCCACCGAGGCGGGGTGGCCCAAAAGGAGAAACGAAAGTTTCTCCTTTTACATTTAGTAATATATACAGGAGAAGAGGTTACTAGCCCCTTACTCCCAGCATTTTAGTCGCCTCTTACAACACGCATGGCTTACAGAGGAAGAATTCTGTTCCACTTCACCATATAGATAAGAGGAAATAAACAAGAATTAGAACTAGAAAGAAAATAGAAGAAAAGCCAGAGGGGTGTGTATATATATGCTTGTACATGTATGTGTAGTGTGACCTAAGTGTAAGTAGAAGTAGCAAGACATACCTGAAATCTTGCATGTTTATGAGACAGAAAAAAGACACCAGCAATCCTACCATCATGTAAAATAATTACAGGCTTTCATTTTACACTCACTTGGCAAGACGGTAGTACCTCCCTGGGCGGCTGCTGTCTACCAACCTACTAGGTATTATTATTATTATTATTATTATTATTCTTGGCTTGTTGATTGCAGAATACCTTGTTTTTGTTAAGTTATTGGAGATATATATGAGAATGCCAATATTTCTTTTTCAGACTGGGACTTTATTAAATCTAAGGATTTCTTCTGGAAAGTTGTGGTCATCACATTAGTCTCCTGCCTACCACTCTACATCTTGAAATTCCTGCGTCGAAAATTTACTCCACCGACGTATTCCAAACTAGAAGAGCTCAATACCTTTGGCAGTTCCAGCTTAACTCAGTCTCAGCCATGAGGGCACCCTTAAATTTACTGTGTATGTTTATTCTTTCCAAAGATTTCAAAATATGTGAGAAAGAAATCAACTTTTTACAAGCAGATTTTGTCTTAGGATGTACCCTCCTGTGGATCTGTTAGAAATATTTCCAGCTCAGCAAATTTACTAAACTAACATTTGACTGAGATACAGTTCGGAGTTGTGAAGTGAGTCATTTTGAGAATCCCATCTTGTGATATTTGAATTAAAGTAGTGAATGTTGTACTACATTTAATCACTTTATGTTTCATAAAAGCTCTTCTGTGACTCTCTTAGTTCTAATAACTGAATTAGTACTTTAGTTTCACATATACCAGGAGGGTAAAGTTTTGGGGGTCAGTGCCCCCATGGTCTGGTCCATGACCAGGTCTTATGATAGTCATATATTAGAAATATATATATAAAAAAAGTGCAGTATTAGATTCTAAATACTGAATTTTTTCATATGATAACCACAGTCATATAGGCTACACTTCTTTCAAATTATGCTTACAGATCAAGCAAGCTGAATGATTTTTGTGTTTACTGTAATGCCTTTCTATAATGTTGGAATAATATGAGTGTGGAAAGTACTGTTTGAATACCTTGTGCATAATTCTTGTTCACTTTGATTAATCGTTCCCATCAGGTAACAATATTTTCCCATATCCCCACCAGGTAACAGTATTTTCCCATATCCCCACCAGGTAACAGTATTTTCCCATATCCCCACCAGGTAACAGTATTTTCCCATATCCCCACCAGGTAACAGTATTTTCCCATATTCCCACCAGTTACAGTATTTTCCCATATTCCCACCAGGTAACAATTTTTTCCCATACCTAAAGTGGTAAAGACCTAACAGCAGAGCTGAAATTAACTTACGAATGAAGTTTTTCTCTTTGTATGGGTTCTAAATAATATTTACAGTCATCATTTGGGAAACAAATGAGCAAGATGTTGCAGGAAACATGGGAAATTTGGGTAAAGTTGATTGAGCAGAAGATGGAAACAAAGTAACATATCCCAGAAAACAAATTGGATTTTAAAAAGTTGATAACACTTCAGTTCATTGTGAAGAAATATTAAATAGTGAGTGATGATAGTTCAAGACTGACTAAAAGATATAATATTTTCATTTCTAGTTTGTGGGGTCATTATTTGTTCCAGTCATGGTATTGTGAATTTTTATTCATATTTCAGTAAAGTATATGTCCTTGAAGGATTTCTACATTCATGGGCCAGATAATTAAAGAAAGAAACACTGTTACCTTCCTGGAGGGTGTTCCAGGGGTCAACATCACTTACCTTCCTGGAGGGTGTTCCAGGGGTCAACATCACTTACCTTCCTGGAGGGTGTTCCAGGGGTCAACATCACTTACCTTCCTGGAGGGTGTTCTAGGGGTCAACAACACTGTTACCTTCCTGGAGGGTGTTCCAAGGGTCAACACCCCTGTGGCCTGGTCCTTGACCAGGCCTCCTGGTGGATCAGGGCCTGATCAACTAGGCTGTTACTGCTGGCCACAAGTAGTCCAGTGTACGAACCACAGCCCGGCTGATCTTGAGCAATCAAAGAATAATAATTATATGTTTCTTAGCTAAACTGATTTCAAAATGTTTTACTATTTGCTGTAGCTTCTCATTATCTAATATGATTTGACTAATGTGGTAATGATTGTAGGAAATTACGGTTATTATATTAAATAGGATTTATTTATTTGTATTCTGCCACATGCAGTTACCTTAACACATGCAATTACTGTAATGTTTCCACCTTTCCTTTAGAGTGCAAGCACCCTGAAGTCTGACTAACTGGTTTCTCTGAATCCTTTCATAAATTTTACCTTCCTCACACTCCAACAGCACATCAAATCATAAAAATCAGTTGCCTCCACTCACTCTTGTCTAACACACACAAACCTGTTGGATGCCCAAGGACTAGCACTCAAAACCTCATTTACACCCCCTCTTCCTTCCTTCAACATTTCCTAGGACAGCCTCCTACCCTTCCTTCACTACACCCCGATTTATATGCCATCTTGGTCATCTTATTTTTCCCCATCCTCTCTAAATGTCCACCACCCCCTCTTAACCCTCTGAATAATATTTTTTGGTGATTCCACAACACCTAATCTCCACACTTTGAATTCTCTGCATAATATTTACACCACACATTGCCCTCAAAACACAACGTCTCTGCTGCCTCCAGCCTCCTTGCTGCAACATTTAAAACTCATGTTTCATGCCCATACAACAGTGTTGGTACAACTATTACCTGGTATATTTACCTTTGTGCCTCTAAGGATGAGGTTCTTTGCCTCCACCTGATTTAGCAAATTATATTTGCTGTTGAAACTATGTATTGATTCAGCTTTTATGTCATTTCATAGTCCATTTCATTACTAAAGTGTTTTTTAATATTTATGTAATTTATTTTGAAGTTTAGCATTCATCTCTGTCCTTTCATCCCAGACCCTCCAGAAACAAACAAGAAAAATCTGTTATTGTCCATCCTGCTCATTCTCCAGAATATATTTTTATTATCATGATCATTCCTCCTCTTGATCTATGTTTTCCAACATTATGAGATGATGCTAATAGTCTCTCCTGGTTTTTATTTATATACTCCTTTGTTTATTTTACTCTCTTAGCTAATGTTTTTTTTTAACACGCTGGACCTCTTTTACTGAGGCAGAGTGACTTGAAAAAGAAACACTTTCACCATCCTTTACACTATCACTGTCCTGCCAGAGGTGGACAGATTTGACAGTTTCGATGTCCCTTTAAACATCGTATATCGCAGACCCCTCCTTTAGCCACAGTTATATTATAAACTTCATTCAGCTAGACCTAGTAGGGCCACATTAATTCCTTTCACACATTTCCAGATCAGCTAGCAACAGCAATTACCATGTAAGGTGTAACAAGATATTTTTGACAAATTATGAAACTTAAAAAGGTATACAAGGTATATAAACAACACTATTTTTCCCATATTTTCTTCAGTCTATGTACTGCTGCCTCATAAAGGTGAAAGTTTACAGGAGCCTGATCCCTCACATGCCTAGGTTATCATATCTATTTTTGAACCCCTGTGGAGTGTGAGCAAGATAACATTTCTGGAGGTCTACCTGGAGGGTATTCCGGGGGTTAATGACCCTATGGCCCAGTCCTTGACCAGGCCTCCCGGTGGATAAGGTAGTCAGGAAACTGATTAACTGGACTCTAATGCTGGAGGTAGGAAATTCAGTACCTGCACTCTGGAGGAGGGGTGGGGATGTTGCAGATTAGAGGATCATTTGAATCGTGATGTCTGTGCATTTTGAAAAAGACTGCAATTGAACGAATGACAGTGAATGTGTTTTCTTCTTGTACTGATCCTGCCTTGGTGGAAGATAGCTGTTGATATAAAGATAAAATATACTGTTTATACAAAAAACAAAGAATAATATGCTCATTACTTTGTTGGTTACTGTAGGCTTAGAATGTTTGATGTGTTTTATGATTATAATGTAGACATATACCATGTATGTAGACTGTATATAAACATATTAAATTTTTTAGGCCTTGTCATATAAATAAGCATAAGGCAGAAAATATAAGCTAGTTTTATAATTTTATATACTGTTGTATATTACAGTACTTGATGATCTGTCCCTGTTGCTTCTTTATGTTCAGTGTTGATAATTAAGCAGTGCTCAGCAATTTTATTTGACTCAGCTCCCAGAGGAGAACTGCCCAGTTTGTTAAGGATGACCTTAAAGTAACTTTATGTAGCTTTAGGGCCAAGATTTGCCTTTCTAAAGTAATGCACACATTTTTAGATACATGTATTGTGATGGCTTACACAAAGAGGCAGTGAACTATTCATCCTGTGCCTTGAATTAGGTAGCATAAATCTGACAATGTGTTATTAGAGTACAGAAGGACCCTTGTTAAATAAACGCTGCAAGTTACACACATTCACACTTACGAACAGAGCATTTTGGATCCAGGTGCAGTTGCAGTACAAGCGTGTGAAACAGGACCATACTCCCTTTGTATTACTGTTATTTTTTTTTTTTAGCCAACTGCAGATGCTGCTAGCCAATGATCGCATTGGATACTTTGTCAAAGGCACACTTCCCCTATGTGTTAAGATTAAATGTTAAAATGAATTGGCAATTTCCATGAATTCTTCTGTAATACATCATCATTAAATTAAAAAAATGGAGCATATCAAAAGAACTGGAAAAGGAAACACTGGGTCAGCTGTTAGCCAACTGCAAATGACACTTGCCAGTAATAACATTGGATACATTGGTGAAACATTGCTTCCCCATTCTTGAAATTCTAATTTTGTAATGAATTAGCAATTTCCATGTGATCTTTTATTTCAAATTACATTTTAAATTACCCATATCTCAATTAATTATTAGAAAAAAAAAATGCTGTGTCTATTGATGGTTTAAGAGGCACAATTGTCCTCAGAGATTTGTTAAGTTATACCACAAATTAAAGAAAAATCCTAGACTTCACCTTACGAAACAGACAATGCAAATGCAATAGTAATTTTGGACAAGGTAGATTATAGTGGAAAAATGAAGATGTTATTGGAAAACAGAGGCTCTTACATGCCCTTTAACACAGGTTTCGCTGCATCACCCTCTCTAATATTGTAGTTTTGTGCTTTTTATATATGTGTGCTTTCTACTCTCTCACTGCTGGAGTTGAATATGGTGTAGGAGAAGTGTGGGTGGTGTCAGATGATGTGTGACAGAGGCAGTAGCTCTCTCTCCCTCTCTCACATCATATCTAATAAAGTACTCTTTACATATGAGGGTTTATGTACCAGGTTATATAATGTGTGGGTGTGTAGTTTTTGAGGATAATTGTTTAAGAAGGTTATAGCAAGAGAGAGTAGTGTGGATGAGTGGAGTTTTGGTGTTCCATAGTACCTCACCAGGTAACATGTTCAGAACATGGTAGCACCAGTGGCTAAAACAAACAAGCACATGTATGCATGCACACACACACACACACAAAGGATTTGATACATTAACTGCTTGAAGAATCATAGTCAGAAGAATGGTACACAATGGGAGTCTTAACAGCCATTTTGAAAGGTAATTTGGGGCCTGTAGAAATTGTGATTTATTAGTAACTTTGTATGGATATACTGTATATACTACTATATTTTTGGTTTATTATTTGCAACAGACCCTCGATTTAATGGACAAAATTCACTTGGTTACTTGATTCAGAAAAAACAGTCAGACAACCGATTGTAAGAATAACAGAATTTTCTGTTATTCTTACGATCACGGTCAAACAGTTTCATCTCTGTCCACCTCAGACACCATTACCAGTCACCTTCCCCTTGTTAGTCCATTAAATCGATGCTTTACCATACCTGTCACTTGATAATTTTGTATTTCTGTAGCTAATTATTTGCCCATTTGAGTGCTTTAATATCAAGTTAATTGCCAAATATTATTCTGCTTTTGAGAAATGTATCAAAAGTTTGTGTAAAATCATCAGTCTATATAGTATGATACAAGAATGTTATTTAAAACATTACAGCAGTATTGGAGTTTGCAAATTATACTGTAAACTAGAAATGAGAAAATATATTTTATTTTTAATACACCAGTAAGTACATGTTTAGGATCAAGTGACATGAAAGGAGGTCGCATCTCCATGTTAAGGCAAGAAGAATGAGAGATTACAGTTTGGGATGAGTGAGGAGAGTGAGAGATGATAGTTTGGGATGAGTGAGGAGAAAAAGAGATGATAGTTTTTGATGAGGAGTGAGGAGAGTGAGAGATGATAGTTTGGGATGAAGAGTGAGAGATTATAGTTTGGGATGAGAAGTGAGAGATGATAGTTTGGGGTAAGGAGTGAGAGATTATTGCTTGGGATAAGGAGTGAGGAGAGTGAGAGATTATAGTTTAGGATGAGGAGCGAGGAGAACGAGAGATAATGGTTTGTAATGAAGAGTGAGAGATTATAGTTTGGGATGAGGAGTGAGGATGATAGTTTGGGGTGAGGAGAGTGAGAAATTATAGTTTGGGGTGAGGAGAGTGAGCAATTATAGTTTGGGATGAGGAGTGAGGAGAGTGAGATTATAATTTGGTATGAGGAGTGAGGAGTATGTCCTGCAGTTCCACCTGAAATTCTTATCATGATAAAACATTTAACACTGAGTGTTTTTCCATCAGAAAAAATTTAGGGATTTTTTTAATCAAGCATCAGAAATGTATTCTTAAGTAATATATTACTTCATTCTTTGACTGAAGGAAGAGTTGACTTCACTTCTTTCCTGCTTCAAAGGCTATTCATTCTGTTTTGCATCATGATCCTGTAAGTGAAGGACTCTTGATTCAAGGAATTGAAGATATTTTCCTCTTTCTTGGCTCAAACATGATGTCTCCCATACCCCAGACATTGTTTGAGCCCTGTGAGTTTAGTGCTTCCCCATAAACATACATTAACACTGTCCGCTGTGTGACATTCTTGCTTATCCTTCACTGTTCTTATCTTTCAGTACATTCTATTACAAATAAAAAAAATGTCAGCCAATCATAATCTTACATTCATTTATATTGCCATTTTATTAGCATTGCTAATTTCTAAGTTGACAAAAATAAAAAGAACATACGTATCCTGGTCCCAAACTGTTAACCCTTTCAGGGTCCACAGGCCCTCTCAGAGACTTGTTCTCAGGGTCCCATAAATTTAAAAAAAAAAAAAAAATTCTAATGAAAATATGGAGAATCTATTCCCGATCATAATGACACCAAAAGTATGAAATTTGATGGGAAACCTACGGAATTATGCTCTCGCGAAGTTAGCAGTCTTCGACGATGTTTACTCATTGGCGATTTTGCACACTTTGAGCCCTATTTTCGGCTAATTCCAGTGTGCTAGTCGACAAAAATCATAACTATTTTGCTAGAACTTCATTTTTTCTATCGAATGAGTGCAAGAAACCACCCATTTACCGATTTCAATTATCCAATACAGTGGTCAGAATTTAGCAATTTTGCCAATTTCACACAAATTTCAAAAGATGCCAATTTCCAAATAGGGTCCAGAATAATCAAGAAAGACATTCCTGGCACTAAAATAACATTTCCTCTGTTCATTAGTCACGTCCCCACGCCCCTCTTACATTCTTTTGCTTTCCATTTTGAATTATTATTCTCACAAAAAATAGAAGATTTACTGTTATGCAGACTACTGCATTAGTGTAGAAATGGTATAAATAATATTGGCGCACTTGTGAAAGAATATTAGACTCGCCAGTTGACGTGTATTGGACGCTTAGCATGATTTGTTTACTTTTGAACTTTGGTAAAAATCGAATATTTCTGCTACTTTGAGCTCAATTTCAAGGTACTTTTCATTGTAAAACCGGTCAAAAATCATCTCAATTTCTGTAATATGTCTTCCATTCTATAAAATGAGACCAGGAAAACTAGAATACAACAATAAATACCATACAAAAATGCAGTGCAAAGTCGCTGTTTTAATCCAAAAACACGGTCAAAGTTTTTTTTTTTCTCATTACGCACTGTGTGCTGCAGGATTTTTTTTTATACTGCGCACACTGACCACATAGACCCATTCTTTCATATGTAGACCTACCAGCTTTCTCTCACTAGATTTGAAGGTGCTAGAATTTATGAGTACTAGTACGTCAAAGACCCTGGCACGTAAGCCGTACTAGTACGGCCGAAACTCTGAAAGGGTTAATTGCACGTGAAACTATAATACAAAATTTGAGAAAATGCTGTAAATGTTAAGTTATTTGCAATTATATTCACATTATCAATATAACAGCAGCACAGTACGATGCCCTATGGATTGAGCTCTTCCTTTGCATTTTAATAAAAAATTAATCAAGTAAAAAGAATAATTAAAGGAAATACCTCTTGCCATTTTTTTCAGTATTCTAGTGTGCCTAGTTTGCTAGTCAGTGTTTCTAGTGAAATGATCATTTGAGCAGCACTTTACAATATTGTTACTTTTTATTTATCAGGAATTATAAAATCCCAAATTATTATTATTATTATTATTATTATTATTAAATTATTGTTATTATTATTATTATTATTATAAATTATTATTATTAAATTATTATTATTATTACCGAATAATGGTTATTAAGAAGTAACAATATTGTTCAGCAGGTTCATTCTTTGATAGTTTTTAAAAGCTTTAATTGTATGATTGTTAAAATAAATACTAAATAAATATTATATTATGTATTTATATTTATATTAAAGTCTACTTTCAATATTTTGTGCCTAATATTTCAGTCTATGCTAAATAATTTGAAGGAAATAATGCCAATTTAGTTATAACTTTTCCCATAAAGTATTGATTCTTTCAAAATACATGAATATTATTGAAACTTCTGGCTTTCTCTTATTTTATTAATGCTAAATTAACATGGAAGGTTTCTTGGAGTCCAACATGGAGCTAGGAGATTTATCACCATGAACTGTGATGTCAGCATGCTTCTGGCAAGACAGTGATTGAATGAGTGATGGTGAAAGCTTCTCTTCTTTTTTGGTTCGCATTACCTTGGGGAGAAGAGAGTTGGTGTGTTTGAAAAAAAGAGGAAGAAGCTGTTTGTTGTTTTATATATAAGCAGAGTTTTCCCTTGGGCAGTGGAAAACAGCATGATGTCCAGTGATGATAAATTCCAGCTGCTTGGATATGGAAAGAAAGATGAATTCGTGAGGGACACTGTATACAACACTCAAGAGGATCATGTAATATAACAAAGGGAAGATATGAAAGACCTGGGAGTGCTTATTTACTGTTGCTATCACTTCACTGATATGGTAGCGAGATCAGGTATCATTCTGCTCGTGTAGCAAAACTTTATCTTATTTGCCTATGCAAAGTTAGGATCTTTTCTTGTTATTGGAAGGAAGGTTTGCATGGGACAGACTTTATTTTGAAATATTATTAAGCATTTTTTTTTTCTTTAATAAAAAAAATGTACAGCACTATAAATGCATTTTCTTATTTCTGATTTGTTTTGCCGTGGTTTTGAAATTTTGAGGTAATGTGTTCATAGTCTCAGAATTATTGTTATTGGCTTAGGATATTGTTGATTTATTCTGCTCTCTATTTGGGATGATATATGTTGCTCACTTTAAATAAAGTTTGTAGATATTTCCCCTCCTGAATAAGAGAAACTTTTGTCCCCCATTTAAAAGACTCACATCAGTAGTAGTTTATGTGCTGGAACGACAAGACAAAAATGGCTGAATTGTTCATGAATTTTTACATTTTATTTCCTGTATATTAATAACAATTTAAAATACAACATACATTTGTGAATAATATTATTGGAAAAAAAAGAAGGCATTGAGAGAGTGGATGAATGATTATTAATTTTGAAACACTGTGCTGCCAAGACAATGGTAGTGTTACAAGGTGATTCAAGTGAATCCTGTACTGTACATGGAATGACTGGATCCCCAGGGATCACTTCTCAAGTGAATATCCCAGTAAAACAATATAAATAAGACTGCACACAAGGAGAGAAGACAGAGGCACTGTAAAAATATTGAAACAAGCAAAAACTCTAGATGCATACAAATGGACAAGGTTTATCATGAATCACTTGGCATAATACAGTACAGTACAAGAAGAGATGTATGGGAAATGTAAGTTTGCAGATTTTTTTTATTACAAATCAAATTCAGGATATAATTCTTATTACAGATTAGTTTCAGGATGGGTTAGCAGAAATAGGATGGATAGGAAGAATGTGAGCAGGTAAAATAAGATTTTTTAAATTATAATACATAATGTAGTATTTTTATCTTCACCAGGCTAGTTGTGTGCTTATTTGAGTCAGGGGTTATTTACAGTTCACAGGCCCCAAAGTAAAGATTTTTGTAACTTAATAAAATAACCTCAAGTAGTAAAGAGCGTATACAGGAGGGCCCCGTTATACGTCAGGTTAGGTTCTGGGCTACTGATGTAAAGTTAAAATCATTGTAAAGTGAATCAGCTTTTTTTCACTTTAAAATGCATATAAAAGCCTAATAACATGTTTATGTTGTTAAATATTAAGTGTGCAATATAGCTATGCCTAAAAAATGCATATACAGTACACACATTACTTAAAAATATTTTCATCCTTAGCTTATAGTTAGTGGTGAATATATTTATTGTAGGAAGTCTGAATAAATGAAGAATGGACATTATTTAAAACCACTGTATTAGTGAATCACTATAAAGCAAAGCACTGTAAAGCAGGGCCTGCCTGTATAAACATACAGTGGAACCTCGGTACTCGAACTGAATTCATTCCAGAAGGCTGTTCGAGTGCTGAACGGATTTCTTTCTGCCAATTTTTGTTTTGGTTGGCTGTTATCACATCTTCTTAGGCCCCCAGGTTACTTATTTATACAAATAATATAAAAAAAACACCAAAAAATGCAAAGAAACACAAAATAGTTTACAATGAAGTACTGGCATGTCGTGTTTGGTCAAGTGTCGAGCAAACAATTGACTACTGAGCAATTTTTTTGCTTAACAAAACATTTGAATATTGAATTGTTCGAGTAGGGAGCTGTTTGAGTACTGAGGTACCCTGTATACGTATATAGTTCTATGCTAATTTCAGTACTATTGTGTTAGTTACACTGTCATATACCATTTTGCTTTCCTGGTTATAATAACTTAAATTACGTGGTGCCTGATATAACCAATGTTTTAGGTCTGTTGATACAGTCATACACACAAGATCAACACGACTTCTGGTGTATAACACAAAGCATCAAATAATTGCCGTGTCAGGCATCTGCTGTGATTGATATATATATTCTAACTGGATGTAAGAGGAAGTGTTTGTTGTGCGAAACTGTATTTTTTGCTAAATCAATGAATTGTATGAATTCTTCAATAAATAATTGATATTTTTCTTTCTTTTATTTTATAAATTTACATTTTTATGAGTAAACAGAAAGATGGACGGGGGGCTTGAACCATGGTCTTGGGATTGGCAGGTATACCTGGAGGTGGTTTTAGGGGTCAATGCCCCTGCAGCCCAGTCCATGACCAGGCCTCATGGTAGAGCAGGGCCTGATCAACCAGGGGTCTGTTGGTAATCCCCCTCATGTATGCTGGGAGGCAGTTGAACAATTTTGGGCCCCTGACATTTATTGTGTTGTCTTATAGCATAATCATGGTGCCCCTGCTTTTCACTGGGAGGATGTTGCATCTCCTGCCAAGTCTTTTGCTTTCATAGCGAGAGATTTTCATGTGCAGATTTGGGACTAGGCCCTCAAAGATTTTCAAAGTGTATATTATCATGTATCTTTCTCTCCTGCATTCCAGGGAGTACAGAGCAAGGGACTTCAACTGCTCCCAGTAATTTAGGTGCTTTTTCGTACTTCTACTTACCATGAAAGTTCTCTGTATACAGTGGACCCCCGGTTAACGATATTTTTTCACTCCAGAAGTATGTTCAGGTGCCAGTACTGACCGAATTTGTTCCCATAAGGAATATTGTGAAGTAGATTAGTCCATTTCAGACCCCCAAACATACACGTACAAACGCACTTACATAATTGGTCGCATTCGGAGGTGATCGTTATGCGGGGGTCCACTGTATTCTCAAGGTCTGCAATTTTGCCTGCCTTGAAAGGGACCGTTATTGTACAGCAGTATTCCAGCCTAGAGAGAGCAAGTGATTTGAAGAGAATCATCATTGGCTTGGCATCTCTAGTTTTGAAGGTTCTCATTATCTATCCTATTATTTTCCTAGCAGATGAGGTAGATATATTGTTGTGATCTTTGAAAGTGAGATTCTCTGACACTATAACTCCCAGGTCCTTCTGACACTATCACTCCCAGGTCCTTCACATTATGTGGTTAAAATTTGTTTTATATAGCAATACAGTTTTAATTTCCTCGAGTTCTCCATAGAGTAATTGAAATCTGTCTTCATTAAACTTCATATATTGTTTTCTGTGATCCATTTAAAGATTTGGTTGATGTCCGCTTGGAGATTTGTAGTGTCTTCGTTGGATGAGTCATGTAAATTTGAGTTTTATCCTCAAAGGAGGACACGGTGCTGTGGGTTACATCTCTGTCTATGTCAACTATGAGGATGAGGAACAGGATAGGAATGGCTACTGTACCTTGTGGAACAGAGCTTTTTATTGTAGCTGCCTCTGACTTTACTGTTTACTATTACTCTGTGTTATATTCGTTAGGCAGTTAGAGATCCATCAACCCACTTTTCCTGTTATTCCTTTATCATGCATTTTGTGTGCTGTTACACCGTGATTGCACTTGTCGAATGCTTTCGGAAAGTCTGTGTTTACGACATCTGCATATTGTTTTTACTCAAAAACATCCAAGACCACGTCAAAATGGTGCAGTAGTTGGGATAGGCAGGAGCGACCTGCTCTAAACCCATGTTACCCTGGGTTGTGCAACTGATGAGTATCTAAGTGGGTGGCGATCTTGCTTCTTAGAACCGTTTTAAAGATTTTTATGAAGTGGGATGTTAATGTTATTGGTCTGTAAATTTTTTGTAATTGTTCTACTGCTAAGTTGTAGAGTTTCTAATAGGACAGTTCCACAGACAGCACTACTGTGTCATGTCTGTGTCAGAGGCCACTATCTGTGACCCAACTGTACTCTCCCACAGCTCCAGCAACCTTCACAGAAAATCTATCCTCACCTCCCTAAAAGTCTATGAGTTCAAGTCAAGTCATAATGAAATACTCTTAAATAAATAAACAGAAGCTCCATAGCTGAGTGGTAAAGCGTAGGACCTGCCAATCCCAGGACCTCAATTCAAGCCTCCTGTCCATCTTTCTGTTTATTCATGTACAGACAATCATTATGACTTAAATCAAGTTTTTACACTGTAATGTTAACATAAACCTTTTATTTAATTTTCTATTGTGAGCTAACAATATTTATTAGCAGATTAGCTGACTGGTGTTACAATGAACTGTGAAATTGTCTCTGATTTTTGTAAATATAAGATAAAGCCCCAAACCTTGTGCTCCAAGACCAGTTTTACCCTAAACCTCTAATTTTTTTTATAAATATAGCAATAATAATAAATATTTCTGTAATTATATTCAGTAAAACAAACTCATGAGATTTGTTTAGTGCTGCACAATTTTTTTAACACACTGGTCATCTTCCACCAAGGTAAGGTAACCCAAAAAGGAGGAAATGCATTCATCATCATTCAGTTAACTGATGTCTTACCAGAAGCATGCTGACATCACCTCTCAGATGATCATCTGAACAGTAACATCCCCACCTCTTCTTCAGAGTGCAAGCACTGTACTTCCCACCTCCAGGACTCAAGTCTGGCATACCAGTTTCATTGAATCTTTTCATGTTATCTTACACTCCAACAGCACATCAAAACATGAAAACCACTTCCTCTGGTCTAATGCACTCACACAAGCCTGTCAGATGTTAAAGACCCTAGCAAGATCAAGATTGAGAGAGTTTAGGTAAGACCCTTGTGGGGTGAGGGGATAAGTGGTGATAGGGGAATAATAGGTTGATGAGGAAGGTGTGTAGAAATAGTACCAGGGCTTAACCCAACAGCTTGTCAGCCGTAGTACTAATGACTGGTGCAGCGGCGGGAAGTGACAAGGCAGTTTAGTTAGTTTAATATGTTTATTATGCACCCCATACCCATCCTGTGGGCGGTAGTCAAAAGATTACAGAGGTACATAATTGGTCCAGGAATAAATAACAAAAAGGCACAATACCGTGACTGGAACGATACACAAATAACCCGCACATAAAAGACAGAAGCTTACGACGACGTTTCGGTCCGACTTGGACCATTGACAAAGTCACAGGGACTGGACTCCAAAGTTTTGATAGCTGAGCAAGTTACAAAGGTAATGAACTAGATCTGGTCATAATCATGACCAAGTTACAAAGGTAATGAGCTCCAGGTAGAGCTGGTCACACTCATGAATAAAAAGGCAGACAGACTGGGTAGCTTTCGAGTAATCCTAGCACTCAAAACACACAAAGGCAGCTACAGTATTGTAATTATAACAAAGATGACTACAGTATTATAATTGTAACACAAAGACAAAACATTATACGTAGTGCAGACCGTGGAAGAGGCGGAGAGGCAACTTTAACAGTGCCCAGTCCCTCAACCTTTATGAAAGATTTTCAGTCCTTTAACTTTCATTTATCTTGTGGGTTTAGCACTTAGTTGTGATTATAATAATTAACTTTCCTTTACATATTTCACTTTACACTCATTAAAATGTAAAAAATGAATGAGACACTTGTGCAACACTTAGGTAACTTTATTGTAGATAAAAAAAAATTCACCAGCCAGTGGCTTCCTCAATTCAATACAAGAAGAATGGTGGAAGGTCAGAAGGAGTTTGAGGTACTCAGTCCCTCATCCTGGAGACGATGTGTTCAGTCTATCAATCTTATTCTGAACACATCGTCTCCAGGATGAGAGACCGAGTACCTCAAAGTCCTTCTGACCTTCCACCATTCTTCTTGTATTGAACTGAGGAAGCCACTGGCTGGTGAATTTTTTTTTTATCTACAATAAGTGTTACACAAGTGTCTCATTCATTTTTTACATTTTAATGAGACAGTGTAAAGTGAAATATGTAAATGAAAGTTAATTATTATAATCATAACTGAGTGCTAAACCCACAGTACAGTGGACCCCCGCTTAACGATCACCTCCAAATGCGACCAATTATGTAAGTGTATTTATGTAAGTGCGTTTGTTCGTGTATGTTTGGGGGTCTGAAATGGACTAATCTACTTCACAATATTCCTTATGGGAAAAAATTCGGTCAGTACTGGCACCTGAACATACTAGTGGAATGAAAAAAGTTCGTTAACCGGGGGTCCACTGTATACCATCAATGCAATAAAGAACGTGCCTAGCGTGGGGTGGTAGGCCAACTGCAGTTCTCTCCCATTCTTATGAATGAGAATTATCTTGCTTTACAAAATTCAAAATTAAAAAAAAAAATACACCCAAATACATATGTAGTCTTTGAGAAACACACAATATGCACAGCATTTCGAACAAATGTAAATATATATTATGAACGTAATCATCAGGATTCCAAGAAAAAGTTTTCACAGGAAACAGATACCATCATCTGTGTTGTTTCCAGTGACACAGCCAGGATTTTAGTCTGCAGGAGGAAGATTAGCCAGGATTTCAATATGGGGGGAGCCCTTGTGGTTTAGCACTTCTTTATGATGATAATAATAATCAATATGGGGATTAAACCAGGATTTCAGTCTGTAGGGATCTTAAATCAGGATTTCAGCTTGGTGGCTTCAATAAGAATTTCTATCCAGTGAAGCTTAAACCAGGATTTCTGTCCAGTGTTGTCTAAACCAGAATCTAAATATAAAAAAAAGGCTTGGACAATGAGACAATTATGCAACATATGGGAATCTTTATTGAGGAAACGTTTCACCACACAGTGACTTCGTCAGTCCAATACAAAGAAGAACGGTGTAATGAGAGGAGAAGTTTGAGGGTAATCAGTCCCTCAGCCTGGAATTGATGTGTTCAGTAAATCAATCTTGAAGAAAGTACTTTCTTCAATATTGATGGACTGAACCATCAACTCCAGAGTGAGGGACTGATTACCTCAAACACCTGAACTTCACCATTCTTCTTTGTATAGGACTGATGAAGCTATTGTGTGCAAAACGTTTCCTCAATAAAGATAACCAAGTGTTGCACAAGTATTTAATTTATCAACTAGTTGGTTCTCTGAACCATTTATCTACTAACCTGTTTAGCTCTTAGTTATGATTATAATAATAATCATCAAAGGAAGCAAATATATTATATCCTGCCATTGTTTGTTTTACAGGAGTGACTCTGGCTGCCTATCTTTTAAAATATCTGGTGAAGATTATGCCTTAGTCTGCCAAGATTTTTTTGAAATATTTTATCCGGGAGATACACTTAACCGGATGTATTCGTGGCATCATAAAAGAATAATGTTAGTTTTATATGTATATTTTTTTTTTATCGTGACATTAATAAAAAAAATGTAAATCAAATCGCAGAATTCTGTAATAATGATGTTTCAGTTATATAACTCCAAAAATAAGGTATGATAGCAGTGGCAGGCTTCCATGATAGTGGCAGGCTTCCATGATAGTGGCAGGCTTCAATGATGGTGGCAGGCTTCCATGATGGTGGCAGGCTTCCATGATGGTGGCAGGCTTCCATGATGGTGACAGGCTTCCATGATAGTGGCAGGCTTCCATGATGGTGGCAGGCTTCCATGATGGTGGCAGGCTTCCATGATGGTGGCAGGCTTCCATGACAGTGGCAGGCTTCCATGGTGGCAGGCTTCCATTATGGTGGCAGGCTTCCACGATATTGGCAGGCTTCCATGATAGTGGCAGGCTTCCATGATAGTGGCAGGCTTCCATGATGGTGGCACGCTTCTGTAAGGCTTCCATGATGGTGGCAGGCTTCTGTAAGGCTTCCATGATGGTGGCAGGCTTCCGTGATAGTTGCAGGCTTTCATGATGATGGCAGGCTTTCATGATGGTGGCAGGCTTCCATGATAGTGGCAGGCTTCCATGATGGTGGCAGGCTTCCATGATGGTGGCAGGCTTCCACGATAGTGGCAGGCTTCCATGATAGCAGGCTTACATGATAGTGGCAGGCTTCTGTAAGGCTTCCATGATGGTGGCAGGCTTCCATGATGGTGACAGGCTTCCATGATAGTGGCAGGCTTCCATGATGGTGGCAGGCTTCCATGATGGTGGCAGGCTTCCATGATGGTGGCAGGCTTCCATGACAGTGGCAGGCTTCCATGGTGGCAGGCTTCCATTATGGTGGCAGGCTTCCATGATAGTGGCAGGCTTCCATGATAGTGGCAGCCTTTCATGATAGTGGCAGGCTTCCATGATAGTGGCAGGCTTCCATGATGGTGGCAGGCTTCCATGATCGTGGCAGGCTTCCATGATGATGGCAGGCTTCCATGATAGTGGCAGGCTTCCATGATGGTTGCAGGCTTCCATGCTGGTGGCAGGCTTCCATGATGGTGGCAGGCTTCCATGATAGTGGCAGGCTTCCATGATGGTGGCAGGCTTCCACGATGGTGGCAGGCTTCCACGATATTGGCAGGCTTCCATGATAGTGGCAGGCTTCCATGATAGTGGCAGGCTTCCATGATGGTGGCACGCTTCTGTAAGGCTTCCATGATGGTGGCAGGCTTCTGTAAGGCTTCCATGATGGTGGCAGGCTTCCGTGATAGTTGCAGGCTTTCATGATGATGGCAGGCTTTCATGATGGTGGCAGGCTTCCATGATAGTGGCAGGTTTCCATGATGGTGGCAGGCTTCCATGATGGTGGCAGGCTTCCACGATAGTGGCAGGCTTCCATGATAGCAGGCTTACATGATAGTGGCAGGCTTCTGTAAGGCTTCCATGATGGTGGCAGGCTTCCATGATAATGGTAGGCTTCCATGATGGTGGCAGGCTTCCATGATAGTGGCAGGCTTCCATGATAGTGGCAGGCTTCCATTATGGTGGCAGGCTTCCATGATAGTGGCAGGCTTCTGTAAGGCTTCCATGATGGTGGCAGGCTTCCATGATAGTGGCAGGCTTCTGTAAGGCTTCTATGATAGTGGCAGGCTTCTGTAAGGCTTCCATGATAGTGGCAGGCTTCTGTAAGGCTTCCATGATAGTGACAGGCTTCTGTAAGGCTTCCATAATAGTGGTAGGCTTCTGTAAGGCTTCCATCATAGTGGCAGGCTTCTGTAAGGCTTACATGATAGTGGCAGGCTTCCTTAATAGTGGCAGGCTTCCATGATAGTGGCAGACTTCCATGATAGTGACAGGCTTCCATGATAGTGGCAGGCTTCTGTAAGGCTTCCATGATGATGGCAGGCTTCTGTAAGGATTCCATGATAGTGGAAGGCTTCTGTAAGGCTTCCATGATAGTGGCAGGCTTCTGTAAGGCTTTTATAATAGTGGCAGGCTTCTGTAAGGCTTCCATCATAGTGGCAGGCTTCTGTAAGGCTTCCATCATAGTGGCAGGCTTCTGTAAGGCTTACATGATAGTGGCAGGCTTCCTTAATAGTGGCAGGCTTCCATGTTGGTGGCAGGCTTCCATGATAGTGGCAGGCTTCCATGATAGTGACAGGCTTCCATGATAGTGGCAGGCTTCTGTAAGGCTTCCATGATGATGGTAGGCTTCTGTAAGGCTTCCATGATAGTGGAAGGCTTCTGTAAGGCTTCCATGATAGTGGCAGGCTTCTGTAAGGCTTCCATGATAGTGGCAGGCTTCTGTAAGTCTTCCATCATAGTGGCAGGCTTCTGTAAGGCTTCCATCATAGTGGCAGGCTTCTGTAAGGCTTATATGATAGTGGCAGGCTTCTGTAAGGCTTATATGATAGTGGCAGGCTTCTGTAAGGCTTATATGATAGTGGCAGGCTTCCATCATAGTGGCAGGCTTCTGTAAGGCTTATATGATAGTGGCAGGCTTCCTTAATAGTGGCAGGCCTCCATGATGGTGTCAGGCTTCCATGATAGTGACAGGCTTCCATGATAGTGACAGGCTTCCATAATAGTGGCAGGCTTCTGTAAGGCTTCCATGATGGTGGCAGGCTTCTGTAAGGCTTCCATGATGAGTGATGATAGGCTATCTGTAAGGCTTCCATGATAGTGGCAGGTTTCTGTAAGGCTTCAATGATAGTGGCAGGCTTCTGTAAGGCTTTCATGAGTGGCAGGCTTCTGTAAGGCTTCCATGATAGTGGCAGGATTCTGTAAGGCTTCCATGATAGTGGCAGGCTTCTGTAAGGCTTCCATGATAGTGGCAGGCTTCTGTAAGGCTTCCATGATAGTGGCAGGCTTCTGTAAGGCTTCCATGATAGTGGCAGGCTTCTGTAAGGCTTCCATGATAGTGGCAGGCTTCTGTAAGCGTTCCATGATAGTGGGAGGTTTCTGTATGACTTCCATGATGGTAGCAGGCTTCTGTATGACTTCTATGATGGTGGCAGGCTTCTGTATGACTTCTATGATGGTGGCAGGCTTCTGTATGACTTCTATGATGGTGGCAGGCTTCTGTATGACTTACATGATGGTGGTAGGCTTCCATGGTGGCGTAGAGGAAAGGGATGTAAACATTGGTGAAGTAACTAGTGCCTAAAAGATCAAATTAAAAGAAGACGTGATAAAGAACGATAGAAAATGTGAATTCAACTAACCTCTCTGTACATTTTATAGGACGCAGAGTCATGAACAGGACCGGATTAAGACATGGGCTTGAGGGGCTGCAGCCCAAGGTCCTCCGCCAGCTGCAGGGCCTCCAGAGACTAAGTTTATTCAGGTACAGGTATACGTAAACAGTTGCATAAATTATCAAACATAACACACGTGTAGATTACCTAGAATAAACCAGAAAAGTCAGACAATACCTGGGGTATACCTGGAGAGGGTTTCGGGGGTCAGCGCCCCCGCGGCCCGGTCTGAGATCAGGCCTCACAGTGGATCAGAGCCTGATCATAAAGTGACTTATTTCCATTGGGTTCCTAGGAAAAAGTGTTCACAGTTACTGCTGTAAGTTTATAATTATAGTATGTTATTACATCATGTATATAATGAACTGTTGACTGTTGTGATTATTTATTTTTCCTTTTGCAAATATCACTGAAGGTCTCACAATATTTGTATCCCAGGGACCTTACAGGACTTGTATCCTAGGGACCTCACAGGACTTGTATCCCAGGGACCTCACAGGACTTGTATCCCAGGGACCTCAAAGTACTTGTAGCCCGGGGACCTACAAAATCTTAATCCTGCTCTGGTCATGAAGGCCATGAAACCTGACCAGACAGCGTAAACAGTATCACGACTGTCTTGCAATGAAGGCAGGTATAAGTTCGCCAGGAAACAAGTGTTTCCTGACGAGGGTCTTAGTTGTATGATGACCCATAGCTGGAGCTTTTGGTCATCTGACCGAGGCCTTCTGATGGCTTACCCCTAGATCCCTTAAATAATTATAGCTATGATTATAACCATTTGTTCTGCCTCTCGCAATGAAGGAACATTATATATGTTCTCGACTGAAGATAAACGAAAGGTACCAAGACAGACATGTACCTCGACGGTAAATAGCCAGGAGAGAATAGCTGATAAATATTAATACAGTTTATCCCCATAATCAAGTTTGCATCCAACACACCATAAACTGAACAATGGAAATCTATAAAATATAAGAAAAGAGAGGGAGGGAGAGAATCAATTTATTAATAGGATGACTCGAGTCCAGAAATCTTTGTACAGCGTCCTGGATTATTATAATTATGGGGAGCGCTAAACCCGTAGGATTATACAGCGGATGTGGGGAGGGAGGTATTCAGGGAATCAGAGTACAGATCCAATTCCCTAGATCAAGAGCCCTTCACCAGCGTCAAGGAACCTCCCTTGAGGGTCATGATCCTGGAACATAAAAAACATCAACGAAATAAAGTCAGTTGACCAAATAGTCTCTGCCCCACAGACGATTCCATCTTCGTCTTGTTCCCTATTTGTATGTCTTATAACAACAAGAGTTTTAAAATGAGCTGATGTAGGTAACAGCTCTTAACTTATAAATAAAGTTAGGAATCTTTAATCTAACCTTGTAAAATATGTGTGTGTGAGAGAGAGAGCACAAGCTAGCTCAAACTTCCTCTTCTGGGTAAGATAGTAGAGGAGGTCGGGGCTAGGGGAGGGAGGGTGGGATGAAGATAAGTTATTTCCTATACTTCTATACTTCTATACTTCTATCCCCTTATCATCCTTCACATTTCTGGTAGCACCACCCTGCTAACTGGTCGTCTTTAGCAGTCGTCCTGTGTGTCGTCTCCTCGCCCACAGTCGTCCACGCCCAACCTCCTCCAAACATATTTTATTATAGATCAGCATCATTCAGTAGGTAAAAATAATCATTTTGGCCTGATAAAAGGCCTAATGGCAATGCGAAATAACAAATTGTGAATTTGTGAATTATCTCTCATTCCCCAGGTGCTGTATAACCCCCTGCGGGTTCAGCCCTTCCCTATGGATATGAAAAGATACCAGTGAAAATAGGAAATAAAATCTGATTCCCTTCACATGCTTACACATTTTCAGATTTGTGTGATATTTTTTTCATATTTACAATCATCAGTAAAACTTTAACAGGTGGGCGCGGAACAACAAGGTGAGACTGTACTCCCGTGGCGAGGTTGAAGAGTATTGTGTACCTCAGTCAGAGGTATTCCGGCTGTAAGACGCTCCATACAGCAGCCCATGTAGTAACCCGTGTAGCAGCCCATGTAGTAACCCGTGTAGCAGCCCATGTAGTAACCCGTGTAGCAGCCCATGCAGTAACCCGTGTAGCAGCCCATGCAATAACCCGTGTAGCAGCCCGTGCAGTAACCCGTGTAGCAGCCCATGCTGTAGCCCGTGTAGCAGCCCATGCTGTAGCCCGTGTAGCAGCCCATGCTGTAGCCCGTGTAGCAGCCCATACTGTAGCCCGTGTAGCAGCCCATGCTGTAGCCCGTGTAGCAGCCCATGCTGTAGCCCGTGTAGCAGCCCATGCTGTAGCCCCCTACAACAGTCTACGTCGCAACATTGCCAGTATTTAGACTCAAGAACTCATCCAACGCCCACGCATTTTTATTGCTAACTCTTATCAACAACAACAACATGGTAATTGAAGTAAGTTCTTATTTTTTTGCTTTAAAGAGAGAGAGAGAGAGAGAGAGAGAGAGAGAGAGAGAGAGAGGAGAGAGAGAGAGAGAGAGAGAGAGAGAGAGAGAGAGAGAGAGAGAGTTGTTGAATTATGGACACTATAAGCAGGGATTAAGTTTATATTACAATAAGGCGATATCTATAAAGTATAGACATCTCCAGAGAATACTAGAAGGTCTCCCCCTCTAGCATTCAGCATGTTTCTGGTTTTTTGTAACAAGTTAGAAAGTATTCTGGTCCACTTATCCTTCTATCCTTTAAAAATTATGATAAATTTTAATAGTGTTTTAGAATATATATATATATATATATATATATATATATTAATATATATATATATATATATTATATATATATATATATATATATTATATATATAATATATATATATTATATATATATATAATATATATATATATATATATAATATATATATATATATATATATATATATATATACATATATATACATACATACATACATACATACACACTTCAGGACCTGGAAACAAGGGCTCTGCTTTGGAGCATCACGTGTGGTATCCTGGTGGTCCTGGCCGTCATGATCACTATTACTTGTCTTCTTGTGCGCTACAATTCTCGTCTCAAGGCAGGTGAGTTGCGCTCTGTGCACTTACGAAGCTGGTGCGTGGTACGTAGGCCCTATTATATCTATACCTAAAGCTATGCATAAAATCAGCCCAAACCACTGGCTTGTCCATGTCATTCCACTCTCTAACTACCCTGAGGCTGATGAAAAGCTTACTCCTGTCCCTGTGAGATTCATTTGTGTTATTTCAATCCAACTGTGCCCTTGAGTACCTGTTTATCATCTCTAACAGTCCATTCCATCCATACTCTCATGTTCTCTGAGTATTTTATGTGTTATTACCTTATCTCACCTCTGTTAGTGCTAGCTTATTCCACTGTAGTCCACAAAGTAAGCTGACAAACTGCTTACAAAGATACCAGTGCAGTATAGACTTTCATTTGTAGATTGTAAGTTCCTAAAGAGCTAGAAGGTATTCGACAAGGTACCACAGAAGAGGGTGATTTTCAAACTTGAATAACATTCTGTATTATCTAAGGAAAGTGTTCGAATGGAAGTTTCCCCCAACATTGGGCTTTTTCAAGGAATGATGAAGCCCACTGTTGGGTCTTCACTGCAGCCGTGTCTCTATTACCAGCATTCCCCTTAACCCAAGTCATGTATGGTGAATCAGGACGGCCGGGAGTCAGAGTCAAGGGAACCAGTCGACGAACGGCGCCACCTCAGCGGCCGAAGACAACCATGGAGGAACCTTACCTCAAGCCTCGCGAAGTCCAACACCCTGAGGGCCTCCACCACAGCGACCAGCAGAAGGACGCCTGCCTCACTGGACAACCCATGGTGAGTTTGAGTTCCTAGACCATGGAGATCCCTTAGCCCTGTGTACATAGCCATGGCAGGACTCACAGCAATAGATTAAAGTTGGACCAATTCAGATTCAGAAGAATACAGGAAACTACTGGTTTGGCAACTGGCATGTAGATAATGGAAACAAGTTATCAGGTAGCATCACTAAGGCCAGAACTTTGAGTAGCTCTAAGTATAGGTTAGATAAGTACATGAGTGTGAGTGACTGCGAGGTGAACTTGCCTAGCATGGACCAATATGGGATACTACAAGGTTCCTTCATTCTTATGTTCTTACGGTGAATTCTGCCATGAGGAAGGCAATGATAGGTGAGTTTATTATGGAGGAGAGAATGGGGGTGAGTAACCGAGCAAGCTGAATAATAATAATAATAATAATAATAATAATAATAATAATAATAATAATAATAATAATAATAATAATAATAATAATAATGAACAAGGGGCTAGTAACCCCTTCATCGGTATATATTACTAAATTTAAAAGAAGAAACTTTCGTTTTTCCTTTTGGGTCACCCTGCCTCGGTGGGATACTGCCGGTTTGTTGAAAGAAGAAAGAACAATACTACTACTAATAAAAGAAATCGGAGTTTATTGCAGACCTTTAGGTCTGTGACCGAAGATTGCAGACCCTCTCACTCGACTCTCATCCTCACTCTCCCTCACCCAGGTTCACTCGCCCAACTCCTCCCTAGAGGATCATATCTACGATGAGCCTCACCTGAGGGCAATCAACCCCTCCAAACATGTGTATTACAACGCCAGTGAAACCTCTTCTGGTGAGTAGAAACTCCTGTGATGTGCAGAAGCCTTTTCTGATGAGAAGAAACCTCCTGTGATGTGCAGAAGCCTTTTCT